TGAATTGAATTGGTCATCAGGAACTACATTAAAATAATGAATAGGCCCTACTCTCTTAGACCTTTCTCATGAGGCAAAACAAATTATGAGATAAAAATATTAATAAATAGTAAAAAATATATGTAAATACAACCCTTGAAGAACAGCAGTTTTGGGATAAATAAAATAAAATCACTTAAAATATTTTAAATATAAACTCTCCAACAGAAACTTCCCAAAACAACGGCTTACTAAGTGGTAAAAAATATTTTAAATAGGCTACACAATAATTTTGAGTCCTTTTAACGTTAGGCCTGGTAAAAAACTTAATTTACACATGTTTAATATTGTCGTGGAGAACTACAAGTTGCTCTGCATGTTCCGGGAGCAATTCTTTCCTTCGAGAGCTGATCACATTTCCCGCAGAAGAAAACAGTCTCTCACTTGGAACGGATGTTGCAGGAATACCTAGATATTTAAGTGCAACTTTTGCAATCCTTGGATAAATGTTGAAATTTTTCCTCCACCACGTTAGAGAGTCTTCATTTTGTCTTATTCTTGGGGCTCTCAGAAACATGTTGAGCTCCATTTCAACATCATCCTCCTTGCTCGGTCCACTTAGAGGCTCTTCATTAAGAAATTGAAATATGCTTGATGACGAGCAACTTGCTATTTCTGTAGGGTTCTCTACTGTCATGTCTTTCTCAGTCTGTGCAGATACATTTTCCATTTCTTTTTTCAATTGGAGCTGCGCTGACATTTGAAGATTTTCTTTCAACCCTTGAAGCTTATATTTTGGGTCAACAAGCGTTGAAATCAAATAAATCAAATTTGATTCCATTGGCCCAAATCGTGTTTTCATGTGTTTTTTTATGCATTGGCCAAACTGGATGAGGCTACCTTTCTCCTCAATTTGGCCATACACTTTTTCGACTCCATACAACATAGGTAAAACCCCCGAAATAGTCGGGTAGATATCCCCACTGGCAAACTGTGTGGCCTCCACAAGGGGCTCGAAAACCTTCAAAACATTTTCTGCCAATAACCATTCTGTTCCGTGAAGAGTGTTTACCCTGGTGTCAGAAGTCCCAAGCTCCAAGTTGATTGCATTTCGACAAGCTATTAGCCTTTCCAGCATATAGTACTGGCTGTTCCATCTTGTTGGGACGTCCTGTATCAGCTCCAAGGCCTTGTTGCCGAGCTTCAACTGTTCTGCTTGCAACCTTGCATTAGCTGTAGAACTTCGTGAGTAGTGGCCTACAATAGCCCTACACTTTGCCATTAAGTGGGTTACGCTTATAGTTTCTTTTATTGCATCTTCAATGCAAAGTTGGAGGACATGCCCAAAACAATCAATTTGCGTCCAAGATCTTGAAAAAGCTATTGCTGCTTTCATATTTGGAGCCCCATCAGTGACAGCATAAATTGGTACTCTTTTGTCTGCCTGGCCTTTGTTAAGAACTCTATCAATCTCCCAATCTTCGATTATTTCTGCCATTGCACGGTGAAGGTTGGTCCCCGTATGCTGTATTGTGAGGAGTTTGAGGGCCAAACAATGCGATTTCTTTTCGAAGTTTGAAGACAAACAATGTGATGTCAAAGATAAATAGCCCTGACTTTTTCTTGATGTCCAGCCATCAGCTGTGAAGCTCCATGACTGGAGATCAGCCTTTATACAATTTTTTAGATTGTCAAACATTCTAGGAATGACATTCCTAGAAAATGTTGTCCTCGAAGGAACTTGGTATCTGGGACTTGTTAGTTTTAATAATCCCCTGAACTCATTTTCCTCCACAATTGAGTACGAGTGGAACCCGCCTACAATGAATTTTCCAATTTGCCTTGTCAATTGGATTGCCTGGGGATTGGTTGCAGGCCACATTTCTTTTTTTTGAAACATAGTCCTGATTGACTGTTGTGTACTGTTACTACCCATCTTTGTCTTCTTCTGTAAAACTTTGCTAGCAGGACTTTTCTTTCTTAATAACCAATCAGCCTTTTTAGTTTCATAGCTTTTAAATTGTTTTTCATGCTTTCTTTTGAGATGATTAATTGCTGAAGTTGTTGTTCCTAAAAAGAAAACCTTTATTTAGTTGCTTTACCAGAAAAAAAAACGATAAACCCACATATTTATGGCCACAGTTATTGTAGGCTGCCTTTTAAACCATGTTTTAGTTTGTTGAAACATTCTGCCTACACTGACTGAAAACATTGCATAGAGCATTTACCATACTGGTAGTTGAGTAGGGTTAGGTTTGTTTAGTTTAAAGTAGCCTAGCCAAGTTTGAGGTAAAATTTACTGTTTAGAATAGGCCTATATTTGTGGATAAAAGCACCTATTTGGATATGAGAATATCAAGAAATTTCAATATTTCAATTTAAATCTAGTATCACTGCAAAGTTAAAATCCCTCTGCCAGAAACAAAGGTAGGCTACCTTAATTCTTCACATATACGTAAAATGAAATGATCTTTCACACACCAGCTCAAAATTGTAAGTTAGGGCTAATCATTTTTAGATTAAGCCTACTCAAATGAAAGCAGGATTTATCTCAATTATATGTTGATTAGTTTAGTAAACAAACTCCACACACTCTATCAAAAGAATTGAAAAAAGAATAAAAATGAAATGGTAATACATTTTGTAAGTTTACTTAATAAAATGTTTAAACAAAGCAAACGTTTTTCAATCCCAAAGTATTTATAATAAAATGTGTGATATTTTTTGCTTTTTGACACTTTTTGGTAGACATCACTTTTCAATTTAGACATATTTTCCCGACCCTCTGAGACCAAGACCTTTAGTTTGAGCTCTTTCCCATTATACTACTAGCTGTCAAACATTCACAATTTTGATTTTTTGGAAATCGATCTACCGAAGGTTAGATCTGGGCTAAAATCACAAAGCCATTCAAAAACTATTTAATAACTTTACACTGTAAAGAGAGCTAAACTGATGCATAGCGTTGTCGTTTTACAACACACAATACTTACAGTTAGCATAGGCCTAGAATAAAGGAAGTAGGCTAGTTAACCAATAAGAACACAAGGTCTTAGTTAAGTTAAGTAAAAAACACCTACCTGATTTGGCTGATAATTTTAATTTGCAGATTTTACAAATACGGGAATCCTTTCCTTCATTAAGGAAATACTCATTAATGGGATTTTTCCCACTTTCTTCCGAAACATTGCTTGGACCACTACTACTAGTACTAGCAATAGTATTAGGATCAGGAATAGTATTAGGATCAGGATCAGCAATTGAACACAAAGGATCAGGATCGTCAAGTAATTCGTCATCCACCTGATAATTCAAAGGATCAGGATCGTCAAATAATTCTTCATCCATCTGATAACTCATGATTCGAGGTTTTTGTTGAATCTCTCTTTGTACATCAATGGCGCAACATTACTTAAAAGACACAGTTTTAGATCACATTAACAGACGAAAATGACAAATTCATAGTTCGAGGTTTTTGTTGAATCTATCTTTACAAATCAATGGTGCAACATTACTTATTACATAAAACTATCATTAACAAAGACAGTCGCAGTTTTAGATTTGCTGCGTTTTAGCTCGCATTTAAACAGACGACAATGACAGACTGACTAACTGAAGTGAACAATGAACATGATAGTAAAGGCAAAGAGGAAAAATACTAAACCTCAACACTTGTCTGTAATAATATAAATTGTAATGGTTTAATAATTTCTGCAATAATACTGTTTCGGTAATTTACTTAAAGCATCGATACTCCCTTAGTTGATTTCTCATTCTTATGGAACAGCTAAAACCAATTTTATTGTTAGTTTTGTCTTCTGTCTGGTGTCGTAGAGGTCGTGTTTTGTTAACAATTTGTTTCTTGTCATTTCAGCCATTTAAAAAATAGTTCAACCAAATAAAACAATCCTACCATAGACAATAACACGTCCCCTGGTTTTATAACCAAACAGTTAAGCACAAATAATAAAATTGACCCTGAAATAATACAAACATAACTTTGTCGACACTAGCGATCGGTGTCACCGTACATGAACTAGACACGAAAACGGGCTTCGAGATATTCAATGAAATGAGAAGTTAACTTGTGTTGGTTAGTCTATGCTTAAAGCGTGTTATTAAAAGCGTCGTAACAGTTCTACTTACGTTTCAGATGATGCTAGGCTACTATGTTTTACATTATTACCTGCAAATAATTGTCCCTGTTTCTTATTATATTCATTTACGGGTTGACTTATAAACTAAAATAACAAAAAAGGAACAAAGGAATATGATGAATTAAAGAAAATAATAATGTATTTATATTTAATACTCCTTGCTTTCGACATGACGTCTGCTTGCCGTCGGTCACATTGTTTGAAAAATACGTAAATCCATTGTGCAATCTTATCTGGCGTGTTTCATTATAAGGTTGTTTGGCTTGAGAAAAGGTTGTTTGGCAGTTCTGTAATCCTCTATAACCAATGCTATCAACGCTTAAGCGACTTACCTTCTTGCTCGACTGTCAGACTGAATTCAAATTCAACCGATGACAGTGGAGTGAAGTGAAGTAAGTAGTTCCGATCAGATGATTCGAGATTCGGTGATTCTTCAGTTTTCGTGTTGATGGTTGTTCGTGTTTACGATGTCTTGAAAACTTTGATAACATGTTTCTTCAAGTAAATGATTGGTTAAAACTAGGGTTAAGTGTGTTAAAAGGAAATAAGGGTTCAATTGAAACACATATATACAGCCGGTTTTATTAAAAAGATGTATAATCGGCCTCTCTTTTGCCGACTGACACCCATGAATCGAATCGATATTTTGACTACCACCGAATCGAATCGCGATTCGATGCATCGAATCGAATCGAATCGAAATTTCGATTCATTTTCGATGCATCGCACACCCCTAATGTTTATATTGGTTTTCATCAAACAGATAATACAAGTAGCTTGGTTGCGTTATAGACTATATATTATCCGTAACTACAGATTTCTTAGGATATGAAAGGATCAAGTGATGACATATTGAAGGCTTACCAGGAAGCAGCTGGGTGGGCTGAGACTGGACCTTAATGATGGACTGAGCAGCAGTAGTGTTGGTGACAGGGGTGGTTGTCTTTGGGAGAATGTTCGCAGGACTGGTGACCATACGTGTAGTACCATCTACATCTACATCAAACTCAAATGTCAGAGCCTAATCAAGGTCATATTTTAGAGAAAATATTGGTTTGTCAAACAACAAAAGCAAAGGTGATGTGGTAACATTCAAGTTTGAAGAATATTAACGATTAATTTTACATGCAAATGAAACTTAGTTAAGCTTGCATGTTCCAAGTCTTCCATCTCTCTTCACTAATTCAGAGGGAAAGAGTCATATTTTTAAAGCATAGATATATCATAAAACATTAAATGAGTGATATTTTTGTAAAATCATAAAATTGAGGTTCAAATGTTGGTTATCCAATGTCAAAGTATTTTATTTTATTAGGATTTTAATAAGGTTTGATAAGATATCCTCTATGATTTTTGTTATGCTATTAGTTGCTTGATAAGAAGTGATGGTCAGATCTGGATATCAGACTACCGGATCCGCTGGATCTGAGCTAGAACCGATGCCTGATCGGATCCACAAAAAATCGGACCCGGTTTTAATTATTCATTTATTCATTTATTCATGTAAATTGTCACAAATTACACCATATACAGAGGAGTTTCCTCAATGGTCCGATTTTAATTTTGTTTTATTCTATTAACTCAAAACGTCTTTTTTATAAAGTTGTAAAGTATTGTATATAAAGTTCAATTAGAATTCATACATAAGAACAGGTGTTTTGTCATAGTGATGTATTTTAAAATAAAATGAATAGCGACTATCTGTGTCCATATACAAGACTATATGTATCCATGTACAAGACTATCTATTTCTATGTACAAGACTGTCTGTATCAATGTAAAAAACTATCTGTGTCCATGTACAAGACTGTCTGTGTCCATATACAAGACAATCTGTGTCCAAAGATAGTCCTGTACATGGACACAGACTTTGACATTACCTAGCCATATGAGTTATTTAAAAACCTGTCCTTGAAGGAAAAAAACCCCTATATGGATTCGGATTCAAATCTGGATCCTATTTCTTCAAGATCCAGTTCCGGATCCGGTACCGACATTTCCTTGGATCGCAACTGTCTGTTTTGCTCGTTTATCAGTTTACTCACTTTTGGTCATGAATATTCTACGTGTCCCCACCACTTTGCCCGTGTTAGTAGGAGTGGAGGTAAGTAGAGAAGTAAGGGTACTCTTGCTGGCTGGTGTTGGAGGAATTGCAACTTTGTGAACCACCTTAAATGTCCCCTCTGGAAATATCACATTTTTACTTTAACACTCCACTCTCACATAAGCTGTTTCCATACCAATAAATCACTTTAACCAAATTCATATTGGCTTACATAATATTAAGTACCAGGGGACTGATGATTGCTCGTGATGTTTAATTTTTTGAGATGTTAAAAATAGGGATGGTCAAGTCTCGAAATTTCGGGAAATTTTCGGGAAATTTTAAATCTCGTTACACGAGACGAGATTTCTTTTTGGCCAAGATTTTTATTGAGACAAGAATAAAAAAAAAAAAAAAAAAAAAAAAAAAAAAAAAAAAAAAAAAAATTCAAAAAGCCTGCAGAAAGTCAATGCAATACCCGCAATACAGGAGCGTGTTGTAGTTGCGTTTCCTTTGCGAAGGCGTTCTTATTTAATTAATTCTTTAAATGTAAATATTACTTTAATTATTTTAATAATATTACTTTAATAACATTTGAGAAGTTTTGTTAAATGTAAGCAGTGTGAGTAATGTTTATTACTATAAAAAGTCAAAACAAGTACCTAACTATTTTATAAAAATTAATATTGCTTTTATTTTATGATTTATTTTATTTTAGGATAAGTTGAACTCTATCCTAACTGATATCACTATGTTTCCTAATGTGATGCTGTCATCACTATATATAGATATATATTCGAATTTTAGTTGGAATTTATTTAGATTGGTTTTAATATAAATTATATTTTTCTAAAATTTTATTGTTTAAATAATTTTATTTAAAAGGATAGTTGGTCCAGTTATGATTATCAGTCGCCACGCGCTTACATACAGATATGAGCATCCTGTTGTTGTCCTCGAATAGACTAACCAATAGGAATCGTTTATTTCAAGGATTTACCAAATATGGCAATGTAGATTATGGCGAAACTAAGAGAGGGGATTTTTGCAACTCATAGGTTTTTAGCTGAAGAAGAGATCATTCTCTTCTACAGACTCCTGCTGGTAGCACTCACCTTCTCAGTTGTAAGTAGTCCCTCGGGTTACTGCTAAATCAGCCAAGTTCACTAATACTTGTTGTAATGTTTTAACTTATAAATTTATAGCTACCGACAAAACTTAGGACTTAATTACAAACCTTTCTCGAATATCAGTGAGCTCACTCAGCCATGATGCTGTTGGTTTATTTTAAAGTAACAATAATAAATTATGATAATTTAGTGTAACTATGTAACACTGTGAAAATATTTGGATTTATCCAAAAGTATGATAATACAGCTTGTGTTTAATAAAGAATAGTATTTATAATTGTTGTTCGTCTTTGCCCACCATCCTGGCGCACGACACTAATCGTAGGCATTTTTAATAAGTTAGGCGTGATTAATAAAAAAATGTTATGCTGATGTTTTTTAATAAAAGATTGTAAATATTCTTGCCTATTATCATTATATTTGTATTTAAACAGTCATCTAACAATGTTACAAAATCAGGTAAAAATTTTGAACGTGCATTTCCCGTTGTGTATGAGAAGGGAAATCCCGTCTCGATCTCGTCTCAAAATTTTATGAGAAATAAAAAATCTCGTCTCGTCTCGTCTCGAACTAAAAATCCAATCTCGTCCATCCCTAGTTAAAAATAATGAACATAGGCCTACAAGGTGATGTCTATATCTTGCCCCTCTGCTGGATGTCTGCTACCTTGTTGAACAATATTTAGCTTAGCTCTGGTGGTTATTCCTCAGACTAGGATAATGCAGTACTGCTGCTACGTGACAGATGTTTTTGGTACTTATTACTAAACCACATGCGTGCATCAGCCACAGCTGCAATTCTCGTATTTCGCTTGATGTAGCTTATTGTATAACGCGAATCTGTTGTGTTGCACTATATTTATTGCCTGTGAATCATAATATAATGGCAGATGAAATGTTGCAATAATAGGCTATGTTTGGTAAATAGTTGCACATTTTTAAAACGTTTTTATTAGCTCGCTTTCTTGTCCGGTACAAATTTTGCAATCAATTTTATGCTAACTTTCCGATGAGCTGGAGACTTGGAACTTGAAACATAGCTCACAAATGGAAGACAATGCAATATTAAATCATTTAATTTTCATATTTCCCTTGGGCTACGCCCCATGGGCTTGTTTTTATTAACTTGCTTTCTTGCAAATTTTGATACTTCCCGATGAGCTAGAGACTTGAAAGTTGAAACATAGCTCAAAAATGGATGAGAATGCAATATTATATCATTTAATTTTTATATATCCCTTGGGCTACGCCCCATGGGCTTGTTTTTATTAGCTCGCTTTCCTACAAATTTTGATATCAATTTTAAACGTAGTTCCCGATGAGCTAGAGACTTGAAACATAGCTCACAAATGGATGACAATGCAATATTATATCATTTAATTTTCATATTTTCCTTTGGGCTACGCCCCACGGGCTTCCAAATTTTCCATGTTTACATTTTGAAAGAAAGTAAATAGCCTATATCAATTATTTTAGTCAGCTGTGAATACTTAAATTTGACAGTTTGAAGAGCAGAGGTTAAGAGGTACAGGTTATGCTCTCAAAAGATTATTTATACGAACAAACATTTTAAAATAAATATAAACAATATGATTGCAGATAAAGGTGTTTGTTAATAATGTAAATTGTGTGTTTATTTAGTATTCTATAAAGTAAACAATAAATTAAATAGATTGATATATTTATAGGTGTAGATATAAAGTCAATGTTTATAGTTAGTTGGTAGGCCATACATTCAATCCAATACATAATTATATGAAAAGAAACTCAAATAAACCTTAGATTTCCCACATGCCTCTTTTCTTAATCTGATATAGATGCTTGAAATAGATTTAACATCCACACACATTAAAAACTAAAAAGTAGAAAATAATTTATAAATAAAAAAACTTTTTTAAAACAAAACGTTTTTAAACGCACTAAAAAGGAAAAAAATAATTTATATATATGTGGAGAGTATAAATACTTGTAAGATTTAAAACGAAAAACGTGGGGTGCATGCAATTGATAATAATACATTAGTTCAATAGGTGTTATAATTTAGAATTTAGAAGGATATTGTAAATTATCTATTGCATGCACCCCACGTTTTTCGTTTTAAATCTTACAAGTATTTATACTCTCCACATATATATAAATTATTTTCTACTTTTTAGAGCGTTTAAAAACGTTTTTTTTTATAAATTATTACAGAATTTGTTGAAATCCACACAAAAGAGGAAAAAAAAAAAACATGGCAGTGGGGCTTCCAGTAAGGTCAAATATATTGGCAGCTAAGGGGTTAATGAAGAACCATAATAAAACATTATTTCTCAAAAATAATAAAAATAAACAAGCTAATGTTATAATACCTAGGACATGAAGTCATCTAATCTACCTGCCACCTACCAGGTCTAAGTTGGAGCGTATCAAGTTCATCATCAAAAGCCATGACTACCTTATGTAATTGGGGTTGAGAAGCCAACTTTTAAACCCAGCTTTTATTCCTGGTTGAGTATACCAGTTTACTCCGTAGCTTATGAAAACTCGAGCTTGTGAAACCAATTTGGAAGCCAATATCTTCCGAGGCAAGGAGTACAATAAACTCTAGCTCCTAAACTGCCTTATAAGTTTCTGAACAAATTTTATTACAACCTGTAGGTTCTTGAACTTTACCTTGTTGGCTAGAGTTAGGCACCAACTTGATGGCTTGCTGAGCCGTAGTAGTGGGGGTAACTGCAGGTTTGTCTCCAGTCCGTTTCTGTTGGTGAGCAGCTCGTTGTATCTTCAGTTGTTGCTCCAACTTATCCTTGATTTCTTCAGGAGTTGCTTTAGCTTCTACTTTCACCTCAACAGTGCCCGTTTTTGTAGCTGCTACCACACTGCGAGAACGAGTACCAGAACCAGCAATCGTCTGGGCTCTCTCCATTCTAAAAGACATGTAGGTGAAAATTACAAGCTATATAGTATTTGGTATGTTTAACTGGGCAAAGTGATGTTAAATACTGCAGATAAAAACATTACCATCTATATAAGTGAATTTTTATTTAGCTTGCATAATAAGTCACATCAGTTGTGTGGTGCAGAAATGGGTTAGAGATTGTAAAAATTCTGTGAAAACATTTACCTTTGTGGTTTTCTGTCAAAAGTATGGATAATCACCAAAAACTAAATTTTCTTTCCAAAATTTAAATTCCCTAACCCATTTCTGAGCTTTACCCTCACTTTATCTCATTAGGGCCTTAAACTTCAGTCATCTGGCGATGAATGTCTGCTGCCGATATGCATCTTGGAGTCAAAATACATATTAGTGACCTTATCTTGCATGTAGCAAGAAATTCAATAATTTAAAAAAAATTTCCAAAACACAGCTAAGTGTAAACGTCATTTAGAGAGCTGCAAATTGCACCGTTCTGTTCACAAATTGCCAGTAAGTTTGGCAAGGATCCTCGTTGCGGTGTACGCACAAACTGCCTTACTAAAAAAAAACTACCCTCTTGGCTTAGTACAAAATAAATACATAATTATGCTGAATTTGATTAAAATATATCAAACTATGTACATTGTTTTTGAATCATAGACCAGCAAACTATTCAAGTTTACTCTTTTACTTTTATATGAATGTGATACTCAATCTTAAATAGAATAAGTAGTAAGCTTGTAGTTTGCTTATTAATGGATACATTTTAGAAAAAATTGGAAAATGTATTAATTACATAACAAGCTATTACATTTCAACATGTTCACTAACAAAAAACGTTATAACCTTTCCTGTAAATCTAGGCACTGATTAATGTTATTTACTAGCGAATAAATTTCACATGTTTAAGGAAACATTTGAGTAAAATGTAGTGGTGAGCAACAAAGCTTGATTTATTAGTCATGCTATGCAAGGTTGAGTAATTGAGATACCAAGTCAATAAATCCCAAAACTGATAAAATATCCGTTTCGCTATGTGGAAATTCATTTTCTTAAAGGTTTTCTGCGGCAGTGGTGTTTAGATCATAATGGAAAACTATAATTCTCGTACAGATTAAAATCATCCTTAGCTACAGTTGGCCCACTCACTTTTCTCCGAACTGTTTGATCTCCCACAGTTCCAGCTTATTCTCGTCCACCCAAGACTCAGACACTTGGGGCTCAGTGCTTTGAGGTGTCTCTTCACGCTTCCTCTTGCGCAGGCCAAGTCTAATAGAGGTTACTTCTGAGCGACCAACAGACATAAAGAAAACAACAAATTAAAATTATGTCAAGTGCCAATGATAACAACATTTTTAAACTAGACTTTCTAAGGTAAATAATATTCAATCCGACAACAAATCTTAAAATAAGGTTTCATCCCTGAAGCCAGCGGTTCTCAAACTATGGGTTGCAACCCAGCAGAGGGATCGCGGGAGCATTTGCGTGGGTCACGGGAAGAGATCAAACATTGGACATTATTTCCAGCACGGATCAAAAAGTGGAGGAAATCAGGTTATTTTTTACTGCTAGAACAGTTAGTTGTTTGTGCACAAAATTTCACCTGGGATTGATCTTGAATTATTACTTTACAAAGGTCAGTATATTAAAATATATTCAGTGCATTTACATTTTAACAGATATATTAATATTTTCTTGCGTGTTTAGGGCAAGAAAATACTGTTAATACTGGTCGCCTTACTATCAGCTAAGCCTTATTTCCTACCTTCGTTTCGTCCACATACGGGAAGAATGAGCGTGCACATAGTTATAATTGATTAACTATATAACATGCTCATAATAGTTCAGCATAAATAATCGGGTTTTTATAACTATTTTATGATTTAGAGAGATAGAAACTACAAAATAAAAATATGAAAATAATGCTCGTGCCCCTATTTTTATAAGTAATTGACACTAAATTAAGTATCTAAAATAGCCAATTTCTAAATATTATGGCAAAAAAGAAAATACAAACTTTAGTATGATTAACATAATTTTTGGGATAACTTTAAGTCATAAATTTGATAAAGGAATAGAAGCAAAATTACTCACTAGGTCTATTACAATGACTTAGTTTCCATAACAGATAGCCTTCAAAACATTGCTGCGAACACATCAAACCGACAAGTTAGTCATTATTTAGGCCTATTATTTTGTACACCTGAATACGTAGTCTAATAGACTAATAGATAAAAATAAATTTTCAAAAAGAAAATATAGTAGCAAACGACAACAAAACATAACACGGCAACCAAAACATCGTCTTTTTCTCAAAACATCTGGAAACTAAAGTCGGAATATAATGTGACATTGCCTATCCATATACATTTTGTTAAAGGAGGGGGAAGAACCGGAACCAAAATCAGGGATCCGGTATCGGAACCGAAAAAATATGGAACCTACCCAACCCTATATAAAATCCAATGTCCGTCGTTTTTTGTCCTTTATACTTTACTGAAGCGGCCATCCGATTGTGATGAAACTTTTGGAAGTTGTTCTATAGGCTGTGTCCGGGGATGTTTGTGTGAAATAAAATTTTGAAAACTCCATCAGGGCCCTGTCCCAAAGATCTGTTTGTGGAAACAGTAGAAACATTAAATTTTTTTTACATGTAATAAATTATATCTTTATGTTTTATTTACGACAAACTGCTTTACATACGTATTATAAGGTCTTCAAGTAAAGATGTATTTTTTTTATACAAAAAGGTACCAGTACCCTAATTGTGCATAAAAAAAATTTTAGATGGGAAACATTTACTCTAATTTTTAACCAATTGTGTAACAATATTTTAAATCGTTTTTATTAGCTTGCTTTCTTGTCCGATACAAATTTTGCAATCAATTTTATACTATGTTCCCGATGAGCTAGAGACTTGAAACTTGAAACATAGCTCACAAATGGATGAGAATGCAATATTATATCATTTAATTTTCATATTTCCCTTGGGCTACGCCCCATGGGCTTGTTTTTATTAACTCGCTTTCTTGCAAAGTTTGATACTTCCCGATGAGCTTAGAGACTTGTAACTTAAAACATAGCTCACAAATGGATGAAAATGCAATATTATATCATTTAATTTTCATATTTCCCTTGGGCTACGCCCCATGGGCTTCCAAATTTTCCATGTTTACATTTTGAAAGAATGTAAATATATCAATTAATTTTTAATTCAGCTGTATATACTAAAATTTGACAGTTCGAAGAGCAGAAGTTAAGAGGTACAGGTGATTATTTATAAAGATTATTTATACAAACAAACATTTCAAAATAAAGATAAACAATCTGATTGCAGATGCTGTATAAAGGTGTTTGTTAATAATGTCATTTGTTATTTAATTAGTATTCTATAAAGTAAACAATAAATTAAATAGATTGATATATTTATAGTTAGTAGGTAGGCCATACACTCAATCTAATACATAATTATATGAAAAGAAACTCAAATAAACCTTAGATTTCCTACATGCCTCTGCATGGTGTCTACTAAACCTGGTTTGAAAAATTGAAGGAGTTTTCCAGGAGAATTCAAGACGAATTCCTGAATTTTAAGAGCTACTATCGCAACCCGCTCAACTAATCGCAACCCGCTAACAAAAATTATCATTATTATTATTTGAAACAAAACTTTTCCAAAGATTAATATTTTAAACAACATAATAAAAAAGTATAACTGGTAGATAAGGAGACACCAGTTTTCATCTCCCGCGATCGTGGGAATACCACTGAGCATATCTTGCAGTCTCGTCAACACCGGCAACCGATCGCGGTTTTTTTTGCTAAAACAGGTTCGCATATTTTATCATTTCAGCGACACCGGTAATCGTTTCCCGCGATCGCTGCAACACCCGTGAGCTAACTTTGCGGTTTCGGCGACACCGATAATCGTCTCCCACGATCGCGTCAAACCCCGTCGGCATATCTCGCCGTTTCGGCGACACCGATAATCGTCTCCCGCGATCGCGGCAATACCCGTCGTCATATCTCGCGGTTTCGGCAACACCAATAATCGTCTCCCACGATCGCAGGAACACCCGTCGTCATATCTTGCGGTTTAGGCGACACCGATAATCGTCTACCGCGAGCGCGGCAATACCCGTGAGCATATCTTGCGGTTTCTGCAACACCGATAATCGTCTCCTGCGATCGCGGCAATACCCGTGAGGATATCTTGCGGTTTCGGCGACACCGATAATCGTTTCCCGCGATCACGGCAATACCCGTGCGCATATCTTGAGGTTTGGGCAACACCGATAATCGTTTCTTGCGGTCGCGGCAATACCCGTGAGGCAAACTTGTGGTTTCACCGATACCGATAATCGTCTACCGCGATCGCGGCAATACCCGTGAGCATCCTGCGGTTTCGGCGACACCGTTAATCGTCTCCCGCAATCGCGGCAACAAAAGCGGTAGTGTTTCGGTTAGCCGACGATTCCGATAAACGGGCTCCGGATTCCCGGAGGTTTGGGTGGATTCCTGGAGTTTTCCAGGATATTTCAAGGTAAGTTAAAATTCCCGGAGGTTTCCCGGTTTTCCCGAATTTCCCGGAGAGTAGACACCATGCTCTGTCTTAATCTGATATAGATGCTTGAAATACATTTAACATCCACACACATTAAAAACTAAAAAGTAGATAATAATTTATAAATAAAAAACGTTTTTTAAACATAACGTTATTAAACGCACTAAAAAGTAGAAAATAAATTATAAATATGTGGAGAGTATAAATATTTGTAAGATTTAAAATGAAAAACGTTGGATGCATGCAATTGATAATAATACATTAGTTCAATAGGTTGACAAGATAATTTCACAAAACTGGTAAATTATTTCCAACCAACACAATGTCTAGTTTTTTAAATTTTTAAAAACATATAAAAGCATTCAGTACGAAGACAGTGTAGTTTTGCCAGCTGTTCACAGCAGACGACAATGAAAAACTGGAGGTTATGATGAAGCAATGGCAACGGGCATCTTTTTTTTATCAGCTTCAAAACTAGTTATAAGATGGATACAACTCTTGCAAAGTTTTTTTTCTTAAACTAAAATTTGGATTATCACAGAGTAAGATTATTGTCTTTTCATTTACAAAGTTAACATCCACAATGTCTTTTCATTTACAAAGTTAACATCCACAATATCAATCATATCAATCATTAGTTTATCTCAGACTCAATCCAATTTTCTTAGTATATTTTAAAGCTCTTCCAAAGAATCAAAAGACCCAGGCCTAGACCTAATTATTTAGGAGGGCCTATATATAAATTGATTAGGTTAAAATGAGGGTAGCAAAATCACTATCTAGTTCATAAGATTTAGATTGCATAAAGTACCTTCAGCACAATCAAAAATACAGGAAACTAAAAAACATTTAAGCCTTAAACAGCCACATCTAACAATATAAGACAAGATACAGAACATGCAATGACATAATTTGAGACCAAGTAGGCTTGCATAACGAAAAAAATATGCAAACAACAACAACTATCAACAACTATGCTTGTGGTTTCGTCAATAGAAAGATAAAATATCTATAACAAATATTTTAACATATAAAATAAGATTGTAGATTAGTTACAAGTTTAATATGTAGCCGTAAACAGTTTTATGACAGTAGGCAATGGCCAGCGGCAAATTGAATATTCACGAAAATACTGACTGAGTTAGAGATAACATTTAACAGTCATCATAAAACTATTATTTTTATGATAAAACAGAATTGGGGAAAGTCGTAAAGAAATAAAATTGATAAAACTCAACAGTTCTTGGAAGTACTTGAATACAACAATTATTGCCCCGTGATAAAATGTTAATGGATTTTGGACTGCTAATGGGGTTTTTATTGCATCATCACCTTAGTAATAAATTATGAAGATCGTAAACAAACATCTGATAAGACTTTTATGTGCTCAATAGTAAACTGAAAGTAATTTATTATTATAATAATGCTGTACCGAACCAATGACGGTAATTAAGCTTGTACCGTACCGACTTTTTTTCGGTGCACCGCAGACCCCTACTTCTTTTCTTAAACAGCACAACCAGATGCTTTATGACCTAAATATAATGTTTGTGCAGTGTTGTATTTTGATGTAAAATGCAAATCATGGCATTAATTTTAATTTGAATGTCAATACAAAATATTTGTGATTTATTTTATTTTATCAAATTATATTTTTGATGATTCATAGTTTCTACACAGGAAAAAAATCTGAAGTCAAACTGGGCAAAGGATTCCCAAAATACCACTTTGTATCATTGTCCTGCTATTAGAATCCCTGGCTAAGCCAGCCCTCTAAAGAAGTAGTGCAAATCTGAATATAACTTGCATATAACTTGGTTGCACCCTCCCCTTCCCCCTCGCCATACTCCACTCGCTAGTTATAAATCATAAGTTGTAAAAGAATAAAAGTGATTAATCTTTCTATGAGCTATTTTTCTACTGACTCAACGAGTTCTCAAGTACTTGACTTGCCTGCAACAATTATTGTCATGATAAAATATTAATGGTTTTTGGAGTGCTAATTAGGGGTCTGCGGGTCAGACTTTTTTGGTTCGGGTCGGGTCGGGTCGGGCCGATAATTTTGGTCCTCGGGTTTCGGGCCAAAATCGGGTCGGGCCAAAAATTATTAATTACCAGATTTTTTTTTTTTTTTTTTACTCCTATCTGTGTTTATAATTACTTAAAAATAACATATGAAAAACGATTGTATTTATGTATATTATTTCATGTTCATAACTTATTTACAGCTTAGGAGTTGCCTCAACTGCAAGAAAGAAGAAAATAATTTTTTTTATCAAGCCATTCTTTCCCATTTTCATAACTGTTGAAATATCTAAACAGCTATATTACAACAAGTTTGTAATGGAACTTAATATAAAAGGATCATAAACAAATCAATTAACCTTATCTCAAGTTTAGGGCCTGTGGACTGGCTTAAAGACTGCAAGCAAGAAGAAAATAAAAATTCTATGTTTCCACCATGCAATATGAATCATTCATTCCCTGCCTCCTAACCTCCTAAGTATAAAAACCTCACACTTACAATAGCATTATTAGTTACATCATCATAAATAAAGAATTATTTATTATTGGCATTACTAGGCCTACAGGTTTACATAGGAATTATTTTTTATAGGGCCTAAAATAGTAATAGACTAAGCAACATGACAAGTGGAGAACTCATTGAAGAAAAGATTGTGTGTAAACTAATTCACTTTAAAAACTCTAAAACAATAAATAACACACATACATTGTTTATGGTATAGTTAGTTATAGTAAAGACTGTAAAAATTGCATATATCATGTCATACACAGTTATAGACCTACGGTATTGCAAGAGATTAAAATCCTAAAACAACTGATTTTAGCTAATAAATGAAAAGAATTAAAAATCCATAAACTCAAGTCAAACAATATCACAATTATTAGGTACCTGAAAAGGAACTCTTAATATATAGAAAATTATATTAAATCAAGAGAAAAGAAAGTTAAATGCTAATTTGGCAACATAAGCAGACAGCGGAGACATTATAGTGTCCTAATTAGCAACACAACTCAATGTTTTTATACTGTAAGATGTTTTTGAAACTGTAGGGTCTTTTTCTCGGAAGGAAGGGGGAAGGGTAGTAGAATGTAAACAAAAAACCATGAATCACTCTCACAGCCGGGCCCGGGGACACTCAAGGTTACAGACCCTCCCCCTCCCCTCCCCGCCCCTCTTACACAACCAGAGCCAGGCCCGGGGACACTCAAGGTCATAGACCCTCCCCCTCCCCCACTCCTATTACACCAGACGATTGTTCCAATTGCTGACAAAATGCAAGTAACGAAACAAGGAAGTAGAGACAAAAAGATATATTTTCTTTATTCAAAAATATAAAACTGTTACAGATAATTTCCAAAGAAATTAATTCATGGTAGTTTGTGTCTTGTAAATATTGTATTGGATCTTAGAAATATCTTTTTTGAAACTCAATCTAACTTAAGAAAAAAATAATTTTACTGATAAAAACTTTCATAAAATTATAAAATATTTAGGCCTAACCTCTTTGTAGACTTGCTGATACTTGATACTTAAAAAAAAATTAAATGGTGACCATACAATGCCGAACCAGACGATCAGAAGTGTTTTGTTTTGTTACTGAATGACAAAAAGGACACAGGAAAATAAAAGAACAAGATACAGATCTGTACACTATATCAGATATTTCTTTTGTTTATAATTTATAATGTAAATAAAATACTAAAATATATTTTAAACTAGGTATGGAATAAACAATAAATAATTAAACTGGTACCTCTGGATAAATAGTCTTTCTTTTGACTTCGTTTTCTTTGCACTGTTGCGTCACGGCTTTTGTTTTGTCAGTAGACGACTGGCTCTGGCTAGTGACAGTACGGCATTTGCTCTGTTGTGTCTTTGTTCTTAAACGTGAGCAAACTTAATATTTAATTATAATTTTAACGTTTTAATTCCTCTGTAATAATATATATAAGAGTGTTTCTTTGAAAATTACTTATTATAACTTTGAAAATAATATTTTTTTTTTTGGCCCGACCCGATCTTGGCCCGAAAAAATCTCTGACCCGACCCGGTCTCTCGGGCCTTCCGCTGGCCCGACCCGACCCGAAAAAATCGGGGACCCGCAGACCCCTAGTGCTAATGGGGTTTTTATTGCACCATTACCGTAGTAATAAAATTATGAAAATCCCAAAGAAACCTCTGATAAACCTTTTTATGTGCTCCTAACCAACGACAGTGAATTTAAAGTAATTAATTGTTATAGGCTGTACTGAACCGAAATTGTACCGAGTAAAATACTGTACCGAACCGACGATGGTAATTAGGCGAGAACCTTACCGTACCGACTTTATCTGTGCACCGCAGACCCCTATCAATCACGCATTATTTGGACTGAAATTTGGTATGATGATATCCCACATTCCCGAATAACATATACAGTAGACATATTCTTATCTCAAAAATCCTTTCGGACTCTGCCCCAGTGGCTGTCTAGTTTCCCATGTTACCCTTATGAGTATTCATATTTAAAAGGAATTAAAGAATTTTTACAGCAGTTTCAAATACAAAATACCAAAATTGGTTATATGATATTCAGGGCTGTGCGAATAGTTCGAAAAACGAATCGAATCCGAATCTTTTTAGAGATTCGATTCGGATTCGAGGACGAATCTACTGTTTCTAACTGGATTCGGAATCGATATTCGAATTTACTGGTAAGAGATCCAGGTTCGGATTCGATATTCGAATTTCTTGGAAATAGATCCGAGTTGGGATTCGATATTCAAATTTACTAGATTCTGATTGAATATAATTTTCAATATAATTTTTTAGACACTAAAAAACTACTTGTGCACTCCGATTTGCTGTTGACTGGTTCATGTTAGGAACCTGACCAACTTGGTGTTAGGCTTTAGGCACATTAGTGTAGGTCGCATCGCATTAAAACCCTATCTTGGCTATCAGTAAACTTAACCTCACAGTGTTAGTTGTTACTTGTAATAGTAATGCAGATATAGGCTTGTTTGGAGGATTAACACCGAGGTGTATAATAGGCTGGGCCTATGTTTTAGACTACACAAATTGGTAGTCCATCACTTTTAGCGAGTAACTTAGGCCTAGGTGGTAGGCCTAACTAATGCCCAATTTTTTAGTTTCAAAACTTCAAATAGGTAGGCCTAAATTTTATAACTTTTTTATTTGGCCCATTTCAAGAATTTTTTTAAGCCCTAAGTTATTTCAGCCCCAGAAAATGTGGTCTAAAAATGTGAAAATTGGTACTGCTGACTTTCCTCGGATTCGGATTTGACTCTGAACAGGTTTAAATATTCGGATTCGATAACAGCTTTAAATTTCAGATTCGGATTCGATCCGGGTTCGATAATGGCTGTAAATTTGAGATTCGGATTCGACCCAGATTCGACTCGGGATTAATTAAAATATTCGGATTCGATAAAATCTGTACAGCTATGATTCGGATTCGGATTCGAACCAAAATTTCTGGATTCGCACAGCCCTGATGATATTCAATAGCATTAAAAAGTTATAAGGTTTACCAACAGGGTGCAGCACTATAAATTTATATTGCATTTATGACAACAGCTAATTTTAACCAAGGAGCTACAAGCAGCTGTGATACACAATGAGAACTATCAAAGTAGGATTGTTTACAGTTATGTTTATGTTTTTAATTTATAAATAATTTTTGATATTGTGCAAATATTTGATGATTTACTTTTTATAGTGCAGTGGTAGAACATTATGGTGGATGTGTTGTTATACTATAGCATACCGTAAATTAAAAGAACCAAATTTTCTCAAACCGTGTCTTCTCCCATTGCAAATGCAAATCACAAGTAGTATAACTGCAATAAGCAGTTTGTACTTATACGTCAACCCCGTATGAAGGACGGATACTCTGTTGGTACTATTTATTTTTAACAAGTGGGTTGAAAGAAAAAATCCAAGATGAAGATGGGCTGCCGGACCAAAAAGTTGGCGGAACCGCTGTCATAAGCAGTAGATAATTTTATGACTAAGTTTACAGAACAATTTTTCTAATGAACAGCAACAATAGAAAATGTAGGCCTATATCAAGGTCACAAGAAAAGCTAAGTAAAGCAACTTATTCACAAACTTAAAGAGTTTACGGTTTAATGTTACATACCTCGGACAGTTTTAGGCAGCTCTAGTGGAATGACAACCCTTCGCACCAAATATTGGGTTCGGTCACAAAACTCGCCCAAATGACGAGACCTGAGAATTTCTGTAGACATGATCTCTGTGTCTGTTGTCACTTGGTTCTTGCCGTCATTTGGTGGTTTGACCTAGAAATATAAATTGTAACTTATTAATTGGGTAAGAGTGACAATAACCTAGAAAAACAATTATTATAGGGATGTGTAGAATTGATCGCCAAAAGTCTAACTGACATGTCTACAAAGATCACTAGATATAAAAATTCCCGCTTTTGCTGTGATTGTGCATGATGATGATGACGTTTCTGTGACCGCAGGAGATGAAGACGATCATGTCCACACGGCAGCAGGAGATGTTCATAAAATTGCAGCTAATGCAAATGACGATATTTCCATTACTGCAGGGGAAATTCTAGATTTTGCCGTGACCGTGAGAGACAACAAGGATGTACACGCGACCACAAAAAATGGTCATAACTTTGCTGCAATGACAAGAGACAATGATGCACAACTACAAAAGAGATTGGACAATGAGGACCATGAGAGATGTTTATGATTTTGCCAATGAATGATGATAATGGTTTTGTTACCTCGGAATATTATCAGATTTTCGCCGTGATCGTGGGAGATAATGATACCCAAATGACCGGAGATGTCCAGAATTTTGCTGCAATTGCGGAAGACAATGATAATATCCATTTGACCACGGGAGATATTCAATATTTTACTATTATTGCGGAAGATGCTCTTAATGTTTCCGAGATTGAAGAAGATATTAAAGGTTTCTCAATAATCGCAGAAGATGATGATGACACTTCCGTGTGAGATATCATGACACTCGAGTTGGCTTGATCGAACATTTTAGGCTGGCACACTTCTAGTTATAATGACATTTTCAGGTATCGGTATTGAGAACTGATCAATTTTGGTATCAACACATTGCTAAGAAATAACAGATTAAGATCAATATTGTGGGTTTGTATATTACTTTTGTGTGACCATCTAGCTTTTTTAGAATATTCTAATAACAATTTGTAATTAGCAAACCTATTTCCTACTAAAACACTACAGAGAAGACCCCCGATCGCTGATTTGCATTCTGGTCTTGACACACAAAAACAGATTTCCAACATTTTTAGTTATTTCTTAATACTATCAGTTTGTAAACCTTGGTAGTATAATTTCATCACCTGCATGTCATCCCACCGCAGACATGCCCACAGTATCCTGAGCTGTAGGGCAGCAGCAGCAATAGTTTTGAAGTTGACAGTTCGGTACAGCCAACATGTCTTGAATATTGGACGGGAGCACGGGTACGGCCAACACTGGTGGTTTGACTGTAACATAATTATAACGCTAAAGAGCACTCTAAAGAAATAGGTATTATGACTGTTTTGAACTTATACATTCATCAAATAGCCCTTTATATTAAACTAGCCGCTATAACTGTGCCTTGCAACGGGGTCAAGTTGCAGAAGAGACAATTTTGGTTCCTTGAAAATAATGGCAAGCAGCTTGAGAACGCTAAAGAGAAAAATTATTATGTTCCCTAGATCTGCTGTATGTAGACTTTTATTAATTTACTATTAGTATTAACTGGCTACATAAACATAACTGTGAAAAAATCCATCCATTCCATATATCACAGCTTTTTATTTCTGCTTGTTACAAATTAGCTGTGTAGTCATAAATTTAAACCAGTGATGGTCGGATCCGGATATCGGACTACTGGATCCGCCGGATCCGAGCTAGAACCGGCACCGGATCGGATCCAAAAAATTCCGGATCTTCCGGGCTGGATCCGGTTTTGATTATCCGATTTTCCCGATTTTTTTACTAACAAAAAGGTTAGTTTTGTTTTTGTATCCATGTACAAAACAGATTTTTTGCAGATTTGTTTACTAACACAAAACTGTGTGTATCCATGTACAAGAACGATTTTGTCTCGATTTTGTTTACTAACACAAAAACTGTCTGTATCCAAATACAAGACCGATTTTTTACGAACACAAAGCTGTCTTTATGTACAAGACTATCTTTGACTGTGTAAAAGAAGACTAATGTCAATGTCACAGTACTGTATATTGCCGACGTCAACAATCTCTATGGTTAGCAAAAATCACAGTACTGTATATTGCCGACGTCAACAATCTCTATGGTTAGGCAATGTCACAGTACTGTATATTACGACGTCAATAATCTCTATGGTTAGTCAATGTCACAGTACTGTAAATTACGACGTCAACAATCTCTATGGTTAGGCAATGTCACAGTACTGTATATTACGACGTCAATAATCTCTATGGTTAGTCAATGTCACAGTACTGTAAATTACGACGTCAACTATCTCTATGGTTAGGCAATGTCACAGTACTGTATATTGCCGACGTCAACAATCTCTATGGTTAGTCAATATCACAGTACTGTATATTGCCGACGACAACAATCTCTATGGTTAGTCAATGTCACAGTACTGTATATTGCCGACGTCAACAATCTCTATGGTTAGTCAATGTCACAGTACTGTATATTACGATGTCAATAATCTCTATGGTTAGTCAATGTCACAGTACTGTATATTGCCGACGTAAACAATCTCTAGCTAGCGTTAGTGAATGTCACAGTACTGTATATTGCCGACGTCAACAATCTCTATGGTTAGGCAATGTCACAGTACTGTATATTGCCAACGTCAACAATCTCTATGGTTAGGCAATGTCACAGTACTGTATATTGCCAACGTCAACAATCTCTATGGTACAGTTAATTACGTTTTTTTAACCCGCCCTTATGACAGTGTGTATCTGGATCCGGACATTTTTCAAGATCCGGATCCGGATCCGGTACCGACATTTTCTTGGATCCGCCCATCACTAATTTAAACAAATAATAGAGCTGCATCCTGTTGGTAAGCCTATTGACTTTTTCATGCTTTTGAAGATCACAGAATCATATTGTTTCGTTGAATCAGCTGTTAAGATTCCTTTAAATATAAGTACTATATATGTTAATTGGGAATGTAGCTATCATCATACCAAATTTCAGCACAATCCGACCAGTAGTTAACATGCATGATTGAACTTCAAACAAACCAACAAACACACAAATTTTCAGATTTATAATATTAGTAAGATAATTTAAAACAAAGTTAAAAACACAACACGCCAAAACATTCCAAATGAAATATTGGAGAAGAATTAAAATAACTCAATCTTGATTTTTTTTATTGATTTTTCAAACCATATATAAAAGAAAAACCTCGGTCTTTTTTGCTTGAAAGCTGACATCAGCATCTGACCTCGAATGAACTAAGCAATTGTTTCTGAACATTCTCTTCGCGTTCGTTATGTTCTTACAATCGTACTGTTTTTGAATGTGAAATATTTTTGATATTGAAAATGTAATGGTATTTGTTGAATCATTATTCATGATTTCCAAAAATTCATGGTCCAATAGAAAATTCATGCATAATCCATTCCTTTTTTCATGGTCAGAAGAATTCATGCATAATTCAAGCTTTTCAAGGTTTTCATGGCTGGTGGCATTTCCATTGATAGTTTTTTTCAGCAAAGAAAAATGGCCCAATTACTTCTTCTCTGGGCAGGCTGCATCAAACACTTATTTTGGGCGAGTCACTTTCATTTTTCAAAAGTTTCATGAGGACACTGGAGCTCCCCAAATTCTTACGTTGTGCCTATTAACACTTAACCACCGATGTGAAATGTGGCTTAATCTAAAAAAAAAAAACTACTTCATTAAAAAATTATTCATTTTCTGCCATTTGGTTCACATACATGTCGTGAAGCTTGCTCTTTTTATCAAATCTGTTGTTTTTATTTTTTGAAGAAGTTGAATTTTGTAGGCATGAAGATGGAGTCTTTTGTGTAAAACTTTGTGAAGAGTACTTGTAGGTATTCCTAATTCAAGACTACGGCGAGGGAGGGATTTCTTTGGACTTTTAACACAAGATAGTCTGATGTCTTCAACTGTCTGGTTGGATACTGGTGGTCTACCAGGCCTACTTTGCTTTTTAACTGACCCAGTGTTTATGAATTGCTTACTCCAACGATTAATGTTGTTTTTATGAGACGGAGCTTTATTGAATGTTCTTTGAAATGCCCGTTGCACTAAAGTCCCTGACTTTAACTCACTTAATAACAATACACACTTAGCTTTTTCCTGATCTGGAAACATGTTGGTAAAAAAAACTCAACTTATTGAATAAGAAGTGTTTTGAATAGCACAACAATCAAAAAAACTATTTTAACTAATGTGAACAAAACTGTTTGAGCTACTGACAATAGACAATAGACAATTAATCTTTATTTACACATTCATCAAGAATAGTAGTAGCGTCAATTTAAATTTTTTTCTAAATATGTGGTTGAGGTGTTGTTTAGTCAAAGATCTGTTGATAGCATTCTTTTAAAGAGTAAAAAGGTCGATTAATGAGCCATTGATGCAAAGCTGGTTTGAGGTCATCTTCTGTCTTGCTTCTTAGATCTGGAGGTAGCCTGTTGTAGATTTTCATTCCTGCGTATGAAGGTTTCTTTTCAAACTGTGCCGTGCGATGTTGTGGAAGGTTGTACTGCATGGTGTTTCTCAGGTTGTGTTGGTGCATTTCGCCACGCCTTGTAAGGTTATTTCTTACTGCAAATAACACAACTTCCTGGATGTAGAGTGCTACAAGGGTGAGTACTTTGAGTGACCTGAATGCTTCCCTGCAGCTCTCGAGTCTGTGGAGTCCTGCAGTTATTCGGACTGCCTTTTTTTGTTTTGTGAGAACTCTTTGCATGTTAGTGGCAGAGGTTCCACCCCATGCTACAAGTCCATATCTAATGTGCGACTCGAAAAGTGCAAAGTATACTACTTTTGTTATGATGTCATCTGTTGCGTTTTTTTATATGTTTAAGAGCATAGATGCTTGAACTTAATTTTGTACATATATTGTCCACATGAGGGGTCCAGGTTAAATTCTTGTCGAGTGTGATGCCCAAAAACTTAGCTTCATCTTCCACTTCTACATCTGGAAGTTGTGGCACTTCATGAGATTTACGGCCAAAAGCTATTTGAGTTATTTTAGACATGTTTACTGCGAGATCATTGTTGTAGCAGTATTGGTAGGCCATACTGAGTGACACATAGGATTTTACTTCTAGATTTTCAGCTAGTGGTTCATTAAACACTAAGGTTGTGTCATCAGCATACATAAGAGTAAGGCAGGCGTCTCCTATTTGTTGTGGCAAATCGTTGGTAAAAAGAATAAATAGTACCAAACCCATAACAGACCCTTGGGGAACTCCTCGATTTATTGGTTTGCTTTTCTTATTTGGCTGTTATCTCTGTGCCTTAGTTCTACAAACTGACTCCAGCCTGTAAGGTACTGGATACAGGGATACCAACAGAAGTTATTTAATTTGTCTTATAACAGTTTTACAGAACAGTTTTTACAGGATGTTAAAACCGCACCATTATTTTATAGAAACCCTGTATATATATATATATCTCAAATAATGAAAGGTTGCCAAAATTAAACTCTTTTCATAAGTATTTGACAAGTATTTGGTAGTGAATTGGCAACAGACGTAATTTATCGGTTTACAGGAAAATCCCATCTTATAGTGGTGTTCAATATTTCAATACCTTACCCGACAATATAAAAAATATAACTGATTTTATTTATTAAAAAAATGTTTGAAATTATTTCTTCCTAACAGACCTTTGTATAAATTAGATGATTTTTTCTAGCTTCCTGAATTTTAATGTACCGGTATTGATTAACATTTTCTCTATAAAGTAGTATTGAGTTTAATATAGTTGTTTTAGCTGTAACAATAACTTGACACCATTCTGTATATAATGAGCAATATGAATGAAGTAGTTTTGATTAAATGATTGATATTTAATAACAAGTGAGTCTTTATAGTATAATCTGTACCTTTGCTAAGTGGTTGTAGCCTCCAACTGGTAGGCGGCCTGCATGGCGAGCTAGTTTGCGTAGCTCATGCTGAGGTAAAATCAACAGATTCTTTTTCTTGCTACGAGTGTGAAATGTTGAACACTGTGGATATTTCACTTGCTGCCGTTTCTTTCTTTTGCAATCAGCCAACGACAGTGTTACTTTCTTAAGATAAACCTACAACATGATACAAACTAGTTTTAGTCAATACTAAATAATACCCACAGCGCAGTAAACCTGCAGACTAAGCAAATTTTAATTAGTCTGGATGGATTTTCAGTAAAATATTTCCACAAAGAAGTCATTTTTATACTCCATTTAAATAACATTAGATTTAAAGAGTGTAATTAGTTTAAATGCTATGGGGAAGGGAAAAAGCGTGTTTGGATCAAATGTTAATTGCCATTGTATGAAATAAATAAATTTGCAAAATTTTATAAAAATCTATCCATAAACAAGCAAACTACAGTAGAACCTCGCTAATCCGACCTCTGATGGTCTGACTCCTCGCTTGGTCCGACTGTGCCGCCAACACAATAGGCTTCCGCTAACATAACCTCATTGTCCAAGAAAAATACCCAGAAAACTTTATAAATTGTGTTTTTTAGTCTAATGTGTTGAAATTTGTTGTGTATTTAACCATGTCTGCCCATTATTAATATTAAGTAGGCTCCCACATTATTGCTTTTGGGAAATCACAGTTCATTTGACAAAAACAAAATGGAAGCAAAACAAAGGAATGCCGATAAAAGCTTCAAGGTCAATCAAGGACAAATCAAGGACAATCGTCTGCTCTTCGTAGGCCTAAATATACAATACATCTGTCTGCTGTGCGCTTGCTTTGTCACAACATTTTGTAATTGGGTATTTAGTAATCATGACAACTTTAGTAGCCTGTGATTGCGTGTTTAGTAACCATGGCAACTTGTTGAATGGGTGGATAAAGAGAAACAAAGAGAAAGAATAAGTGATGTTTTTATGTCATTGTTATCTTTATCGGTGTATTTTACGAGTAGGCTACTATTATTTTATACTTTTTTTTATGCGTTATCTAAGGTTTTTATCTACCTTCTTCTGTCCTGAAACAGTGTATCAGTAGCCTATGACTAGCAGTAGCTTACTAGACTTTCTAATGTTCTGTTCTTTATTTTGCTGTACAATGTTTGGCAATTAGTTTTTTGAGTAAAAGTTTGAAAAGCTGTGATTTTAAACGTTACAGTTTTTATTACTGAACCAAGGGTAATGACATAGCATAATTATCATGACTGCGCAATAGCCTACTAATTGTATTTTTATGATGTAATATGTAAATTGTTACATTAACGTCCATTAAGTTTATGAGTTGGAAATAACTGTTTTATGCCATGTTGGATTAACCGTGGTTATTAGTTACCGTGGTCTGTTCAAAATACAGTTTTACTACATTTTTATGTCAATAAATGCGTTCCTCTGATAATCCGACCTTTTTGCTGTTCCGACCATGCTCCCAGTCCCGTAGGTGACGGAATAGCGAGGTTCTACTGTACAACAGTTCATTTTGTCCCCATTTTAAGAATGATATGGGAATTTGATAATGTACTTTTTTTAATTTTCTCTGTAAACTTTAATAGTAAACAATGTTTCAGCAAACAAAATTGTTTGTTATTAAGCTCTGCAAAAATTAAAAATTGCTGCAAAAATTAGGCACTTCCAATTTTTAAGGTAAGAACAAAACAATACTTGAACAACTTTAAGCCCCAAGCCCCATAGCAAAAGTAATCACAAGAGGAATTTTTAATAATTAAATGTTATGGTTGGAAAAATATTACTCTATCAACACACACCTATATTTAAAAATTTGTTCCAATTGCATATTCAAAATGTTATCATATAAAATTATAGTTGATATATTTTAATCTAGTAAAAGACTTAGGCCTACTGCCCCTATTATTAAGACCGACATCTAAACTGTTTACAAAAAACTAGTGATGGTCGGATTCGGATATCGAACTACCGGATCCACCGGATCTGAGCTAGAACCGACGCCTGATCGGATCCACAAAAAAATCATATCTTGGGCTGGATCTGGCTTTGATGGATCCAATTTTTACACAAAATGTTATTTATAAAGTGCAATTCATAGGAAAAGGTGTTTCGTCATACTGATGCATTTTAAAATCAAATTAATAGTTAGAATAATTAAAAAATAAACTCCATATACAAGACTATCCATGTTGATGTACAAGACTATCAGTGTCCATGTACAAGACTATCAGTACCCATGTACAAGACTATCAGATTCAGTACCGACATTTTCTTGGATCCGCCATCACTACAAATAGTGTTGTTCGTCAGGCTGAGAAAGTGTGTTTGGGTTGTTAATAAGATTATATAAATTGGTAAGTCATTATTTGGAAAGAAAGATAAAAATCACCTTTCCTCTGGTGGATGAACAAGAGTATACCCGATTGTCCTCTGTTTTCACTTCGGTTTTGATAGAACTGATGAGAGTACCTTTGGCCGTCACCTCTTTACCAGGTTCCGTCTTTACTGTCACAGAGGCATGTTGATTTTTAGTTTCAGTTACACTTCCTTGCCCCTTTCCCCTGTAAACCAGTAGAAATTGGTCAATGGATAAGAAGCATAGATTATCTTTTTGCTATTAATAAGGTAATCATAAAACTGAGCCTAACTTGAGATTTGATTTGCACAGTGTTTGTTTATGTTCAAATGTATGGCTAGATCATGTAAATGAAATGGTGTTACCAATATGTGTTAGTCTATATATTTTTAGTACTGTAAAAGGCCATTTTAACTAAGATGAAATTAGCAGCAATTTAATGTCCAAGATATTAAAGGTTTAAAGGTTTTCTATGCACAAAACATTATAAAATGGCAAATAGCTAAATACTCTGTGAAAATTACCACAAAAAAGGCACAAGATTGCTGGAAGAAATGAAAAGATGTGCTTTAGTGGTGGCAATCAACAGTGAATTGTGGACAGTTAGTTGCTTAAAACCCAGGATTAATTAAACATGAGTCCTTAAAGGTTGAAAATACTATTATAGAAAACAGCTGCATCCAGTTTTGAATGGTCAATAAGGGATTAATACTTCTCTTAAAATGAGACTAGCAAAAAATATCTATTTCATAACCGTTTAAACAAACATTATCATAAACTGATTCTATCAAACTTTTAAAATTAATAATGCCAACATTTAATTAGACAAAATGTTCTAACTTACATGATAGTTTTAGAGTGTTCAGATGAAACTGATTCAGTAGTTCTAAAACTCTTGATCACACCGTCTACTGTAGTAACTTGCTGAGTAGAAGTAGTGGTGGTCGTTGTGGTAGTTGTTACCACCACTTTTTCATTTGCACCCTCACTTTTGACTATCCTTCGTGATTTATCACAAACACTTACACCACACTTATCACTGGTCATTATGTCCACTTCTTCACCAATATCTTCTGAATTATGTTTACTTACACTGCTTTGAGAATTATCATCAGAAAGAACCGATGAAATGAACTGTTTATCTAAATTTGAATTTGAATCATTAAAAACAGTAAAGTCTGAACATCTTGATGAATCTTGCAAGAGATCGTTATCAGGTACTTTAACACCGGGGCCAGCGTCACATGAAGAAGTATCTTGAATTATATTAGGATCTTCATTCGATATTTCTTGATCAGCTGTTGATATAGAGTCCATAGATTGATTGTCATAGACAGCCTCGTTAACTTCCATCGGTTCTTCTTTGACGTCTGGTTTTGAAGTATCTTCGGAAGTACTAACTTCAACTTCTGAGGTAATCTCTACTTCATTAAATACATCATTTCCAAGCAAGTCTGGTGTAACAGGTTCTAACTTTGGACTGATTACTTCAGATTCTATTTTTTTCTCTACTTTAACCTGTGGGATGTGATCAATCACGGGTTTTCTCTCTAAAACCTCTCTCAATTTCTCAGACATATTATTTATATTGACAGTTTCTGATGTAGAACTAGACATATTCATATTTTTTATCAAACTAGATTTGTTTTCAGATTTAAAATCCTCTTCCTGGTTCACTGGATCTAAAAAGATAAAAAATTTTAAAATACTAATAAATTACTGTAATTACAAATTTGGCAATAAATCATTCAAGGATTATTTATGTATAATGGAACCTCAAGGTAATGAAGGGGAGGGAGGCCACGGATAACTGGAACCTCTAATCCAACATGTAAAAAAATCCATTAAGAAAACACAATAAATGCTTTATTTATATACAAGAAAACAGATATTGATGGCATTAGTTGCATTTTTACATCACAAAATAAATATTAATGTCAACCAATATTATTTTATAGGCTATTAAAAGAAAAATATGTTACAATTCAATAACTTTAAATACATATATTTATTTAAAGAAAAAGGTTTACATCAAAGGAGTCTGTCAGAGTAATTTGTTTTGACTTTGTTGTTCTTCGTTTGTCACAAAGTACGATATCATCTTGACTCTCAAGATACTCCAACAAGCACTCCATATGATTCAGTGCTACACCGAGAGTTATTTTGGGGCAACAACAAACTAAAAAAAATTGTGTTTTAAGTTTGTTACAACCACGTAGAAACATTTCTCAAAGGACGCTTGATAGTAGAGGGCGCCCATGGCTAGACCTTCATTTTGTGTCTAATACTTATTTTCAAACGTGAAATAATTTTGTTTGAGAACGTTTTTGGTATGATTAACCAACTCGTGTTTAGCCTTAATTGATAAGGACAAGTTTTTATCTAAATTAGATTCAAGTATGTCAATGATTTCTTCAACGGATACGTTTGTGAATAAATTTACGTCACATGAGGCTTAAGGATAGGAACCTTTTAGTTTGATTTTACAGAGTTGATTCACTACATCAATGGTGTTCTTAACACTGTGGTCGCTGGCTAAGGCAGTTGTCTCCTTCGTAATTATTTTGTCAAGTTTCTGAGCGATTTTATAAGCTGGTGATCGTCTAAAATTTATTATATAAATTTGAAATTAACCTTGAATCAAAACTCTACAGAAAACCTACAACAGACAGCTGCTTACAATAGTTTTGACCACATACTATTATCCATACCACTTATTCAAGAAAATTACAAGGAAATAAATAGTTTGAAAAACATTGCAGTTTACAATGGATATAAAAACTCTCTCATTGATAAACTCATCAGAAAGCATAAAAATAAAACAAAAAAGATTCCAGTACCCAGAAACAAAAAATATGTCTGTGCTGAATTTGGAGTGGTACTCAATAACACCTTGAGAAAGGAAATGGGAAAGAACGATGTACAAGTTGCATACAAAACATCCATTAAATTATCTTGTATGTTCAAAGAAAGGAAAAACAACACCTTCTGATAAAGTGAACAATTCAGGCATTTACAAAATCAAATGCAACGATATAGGCCAAACTGCTCATTCTTTTGTGTAAGTTATAATTATATATCTTGACAAATTCATCTATGGATGAAAGCGCTTTGTAAAATTTTAACTTTCTGACAACCTGAAGATGTGCCTCAGCGGCATGAAACAGCTGTAGTTGATGCTAACTACAACACGGACCGTTTCCTTTTGACGCAAAAAGGTAACATAGGCCATTATATTGACAATTTTATGTCGTTATCTTTATACCCTTTTTACAAGAGCTGTTATTATCATAATTTTATAGGCCTACTTTTTTATGGTTATCAAATGTTTTATCATGTTACAAATTATTTAATTTCAACTTTGGAACCCAAGCTATACAAGTGCTTCTCTTCTGAAATAGGTAGCACTACAAAAAGTAATAAAGGTTAATGACCTAAAATATAATGACTGTGCAATATTGTATTTTGTTGATGTAAACATGTAAATTGAGACATTAACGTTTATTTACAAAGTATTACAGTGTTTTATTAGTTTTATATCTATCTTGAACTTTTTAATAACCTCAATATTAATTTATTAAGTACTTGAACGTAATCCGAATCTTCCAATATCCAGTTTTGACTTATTCAAAATTAAATTCCACAATCCTCCCACCTCTAGTTTAAATGCAATATGAATATGATAACTACCATAGTTTAAAACTGTTTTGTATTTTAATTCCCTTTCCTGTTTGATGGTGTTTTGGGGATTACCACAGTTTCATGTATCCAAGAAGCCTCAACACTGCTTTATTCTGGTTGATCAGGAGTTGAGTGACCACAGTTGATCCACTGCTCGGTTAATCTGCCCTCAATAATTAATCAAGGTTACTTCTGTATCAACAGACTTATTTGTTGGTTAAAAAAACTAAGGGTTTGTTGTTTAAAAAGATTTATTTCAATTGCTTTAAAAAAATACACAACCTACCCCAAACCTGTTGTAATCGATATTTACCAATTGATTTACAGTCCCCACAGGCTTTGAAATATCCTTTATGTTTTAAAGTTATTGAAATAACTTTGGTGATGTTGGGAGTTGAATATTATAATAATATTCCCTATAGGGTGGAGAGGGGCTGATTTATATTTAGTGGTTTTAAACTGTATGCCTTTGTTAGTATCAAAATAGCGAAATAGCTATTAAAGCCCTATAGGGGAAATTCGCTAATATACCCAAACACTCGTAATTGTGGTTGTAGTGAAACAATATGGACATAAAATATATTTATAGATATAAAGCTACAAAAACTCTATTTCACCAAAATAATGTACAGTAATTTATACCATTACGTAAAAAATATAACAACTTACCTTTTTTCATTTCATCTCCTTTGTTTGTAGAGACCAAGTTGTTATTGTTGCGTGTATTGTTGGCTTTCCGCAGCAATAAGAGCAACTCTTTGCGAAGTCGCATGCGCTGAGAACAGACAGGGGAATAACATCTGCTGGAATCTTTCTCTGAGCAGTTCTGACCGTAGCACCGCAACTCCCGACTCATCTTCTGAAGAGCTTCGTAATGGCATTTGATGGTTGCCACTCGTCTCCCGATAGTTCCTAATAGTGTCTTGTTATTGTTATTATTGCTAGTCCTTATCACTCCTTCCACCAGTTTTAATTCTCTTGGCAATTTCAATTCAGGTTTCTTTGTTTCTTGTTTGGACATTGTTAAGCCCTGGAATGAGGAAAAATAAAACATTATTAAATATAATAATAATAATAATAATAATAATAATATCACTTTATTGTCATAAAACATTTCACATTTCCAGCAAAGCTGGTGAAACAGATGACATTGTCATTTCTTAGCTAACAAAAATAAAAATTAAAACTAAGGATTAAAATTAAACTAGTCACTTTTTAAAAAACAGTCATTTAAATACTCTTCTATTGTATAATATTTCTTTTGTATAAGGAATGTTTTTAATTCTTTCTTAAACTTTACAATGCTATTGATATTTTTAAAATGAGCAGGTAGACCGTTGTAAAGCCTCAGACTCATGTAGTACGGCGATCTTTCATACAGGCATAGCCGATGTCTTGGATACTGCAAATTATTTTTTGAACGTGTTTGGTATTGATGAATAAATTGATTGTCTATAAATAATTGTGCATTACTCTTGAAGTATACCAGAATTTTATGAATATACTTATTATTTATTACCATATATATCTTACTTATATTTATAATCTTACTTATATATATTATTTATACGGAATATGAACTGATTCATAAAAAACATGTACTAAATTTAAATTATACAAACTGATTCATAAACAACATGTACTAAATTAAAACATTTATAGTCGAGTTGGAGTATGCTGTTATTACATACAAGGCTGAGGTTTATAAACTTAGTCCTTCATTACCGTTAATATAGTTTTTAAATAAAAACATACTTTACCTTTTGGGCTAGATTTCTTTCTTCAATTACTTTGAGGTGTGATCTCCTTGCAAGAAAATCATCAAGTTTTGACTTCTTTGCAACTTTTGGGTAATGTAACCGCCCAGGAGTTGTTAAAGCTTTTGAAATATCAATTTCTTCAAATTCAGTTATTGGAGCAAACACTTTCAGATTTTTAAGTCCAGCATCTGAAAGAAAAACATTGGTACTGTCCATAAATCTCTCTTCACCCAAACACAAAGAATACTAACTCCTCCTAAACTATTTGTTTGTTTTTTTTTTTTTTTTGTTTAAGGATGTTTTATTTAAAGATTGACACTGTTTGTTTTCAAAGCAAAGACCTTGCTGATTTTTTTAAGCAAAGTGTTAATGAGTTTTAAAGTTTTAAGTTTATTTATTAATTTAATCATACTTACTTTCTTTTTTCAAGTTATTCCTTCCTGTTTCTTTTTTCTCATCTAAATCTAGACTCTCGGTATTGTCCTTCTCTTCATTGCTTGGTTCACAAGGCTCTTTGTCATTCCCTTCTTCTTCTTTTAGTCTCTTATCCTCAAGAAACTTGTATGTGCTGGGGTCAACCGAGAGGATTTTAACACCTTTATCATCTAAAAAAATGTTGCAAACTAGAATGTGATTGAATGAAATTTGAATGAAGATGCCTAGAACTAAATTGAAGTTCTTAAATATTCTATGAGAACTATGAAACATTTGTGTTGCAATACATGTTCCCGCAACAATAGGTTGACTTACCTTTGACTCGCACCATGTATTTCTGAGGACCTGCTCTGAGGCCACAAGTTCTATGGTCCAGTAGCTTGTAGTTTCTACTGCCCGAGAGCCATAGCCATCCCCATTGCCCATGCACTCTGTACTCCTCGCCTTTTTGTTTCCACACCTGAAAGTATTATTAAAGATAATTTAACTGCCATATGCCACTTCTGACCTTTGCTGCTGTTTAAATGTTTCTCTGGTATCTTAAATGTGACCACTCCTTGTAGGTGCAGTACTAATAAATACTTTGATAAATAGATCTTGGGATAACAATATTACTTCCAGAATCAACAGACAACTAATTATTATTAGTCTAATCCTAATCCTATCCTACCTACTAAATTATAAATGTGAAAGCATTGATGTTTGTGTATAACTCTTAAGTTAAAGTCATTATGTGAACACTACTGGATTGATTGATCTGATATTTTGCAGAGGGGTACTTGATAGTCTTGAAAACACATAGGCATATTAAAGTTGTGAAAACCCCATAGGGCCATGCCCTACAGGGGTTCAAAGTTTCCATGTTATTCTTATGATTATTCATATTTAAAAGGAATTAAAGAATTTTGCCAGCTGTTTAAAATAAACAAGTTGGTTCTACGATATTTCATAGCACTAAAAAGTTACAAGGTTTATAGGGATGGACGGGTCCCGAAATTTCGGGAATTTTTCGGGAAAAAAATATTCCCGATTATCGGGATGGGATTACATTTTAATCGGGAATTTTTCGGGACGGGATTACATTTTAATCGGGAATTTTTCGGGACGGGATTTGGTCCGATCATCGGCGATTTGCCGCTTCGCGAGTGCCGATGACGCCGCTATAGCGAGCGCAGGAGACGAAGTCATTTCGACGATCGCGCCGTGACCGCGGAGTCCTACCGACGATCGTGCTGTGACCGCGGAGACATGCCAACGATCATGCCGTGACCGCGAGTCATACCGGCGATCACCCCGTGACAGCCAGGGTGTCTAGTTTATTTCCATTATAAAATTCAAGACTAATTCCAGACTTTTCAAGACTAATTCCAAATTTTTCAAGACTAGTTTTTTCAACAATTAGTGCGTGTTGATACCAAAATGTACCGATTCTCGATTCTTGATACCGATACCAATTTTTATAGCTTAACCAAATTTTCTGAATAATACTACACCAACCCCTGTCTTTGTCATAAAGTAGTATTATGATAATGTGGTGTTTTAAAGTAAAGAAATAATGCAGCAATAACAAATTCTAACTAGCAAATTTGTTTTTTTTATATCATGAAATCTTCCACGTACCGTACGTTTAGACATCATCATTGACTGCAGCGGTTACAGAAACGTGATCGCCGTCGTCCGCGATCACGGCAAAATCATGAACATTTCTCGCGGCCTTGTAGACATCAATGACATCAACGTCGTATCCCGCTGTCTCAGAAACGTCATCGTCATCGTCCGCGATCGCGGTAAAATCATGAACATTTCCCGCGGCCGTGTAGACATCATCGTCGTCTCCCGCGGTCACGGAAACGTCATCGTCGTCTCCCGCGGTCACGGAAACGTCATCGTCATCTCCCGCGGTCACGGAAACGTCATCGTCGTCGTCCGCGATCGCGACAAACTCATGAACATTACCTGCGGCCGTGTAGATATCATCGTCGTCTCCCGCGGTCACGGAAACGTCATCGTTATCTCCCGCGGTCACGGAAACGTCATCGTCGTCGTCCGCGATCGCGGCAAAATCATAAACATTTCCCGCGGCCGTGTAGACATCATCGTCGTCTCCCGCGGTCACGGAAACGTCATCGTCATCTTCCGCTATCACGGCAAAATCATGAACATTTCCCGCGGCCGTGTGGACATCACCGTCATCTCCCGCGGTCACGGAAATGTTATCGTCATCGTCCGCGATCACGACAAAATCATGAACATTTCCCGCGGCCGAGCAAATATTATCGTCGTCTCCCACGGCCACGGAAACGTCATCGTCGTCTCCCGCGATCGTGACAAAATCATGAACATTTCCCGCGGCCGAGGCCGAGCAGATATCATCGTCGTCTCACGCGGTCACGGAAACGTCATCGTAGTCTGCCGCTGTCACGGAAACGTCATCGTCGTCTCCCGCTGTCACGGAAACGTCATCGTCATCTCCTGCGGTCACGGAAACGTCATCGTCGTCGTCCGCGATCGCGGAAAAATCATGAACATTTCCCACGGCTGTTTAGACATCACCGTCATCTCCCGCGGTAAGGGAAATGTTATCGTCATCGTCCGCGATCACGGCAAAATCATGAAAATTTCCCGCGGCCGTGTAGACATCAATGACATCAACGTCGTATCCCGCTGTCTCAAAAAACGTCATCATCATCGTCCGCGATCGCGGTAAAATCATGAACATTTCCCGCGGCCGTGTAGACATCATCGTCGTCTCCCGCGGTCACGGAAACGTCATCGTCGTCTCCCGCGTTCACGGAAACGTCATCGTCATCTCCCGCGGTCACGGAAACGTCATCGTCGTCGTCCGCGATCGCGACAAACTCATGAACATTACCTGCGGCCGTGTAGATATCATCGTCGTCTCCCGCGGTCACGGAAACGTCATCGTTATCTCCCGCGGTCACGGAAACGTCATCGTCGTCGTCCGCGATCGCGGCAAAATCATAAACATTTCCCGCGGCCGTGTAGACATCATCGTCGTCTTCCGCGGTCACGGAAACGTCATCGTCATCTTCCGCTATCACGGCAAAATCATGAACATTTCCCGCGGCCGTGTAGACATCATCGTCGTCTCCCGCGGTCACGGAAACGTCATCGTCATCTCCCGCGGTCACGGAAACGTCATAGTCGTCGTCTACGATCGCGGCAAAATCATGAACATTTCCCGCGGCTGTTTAGACATCACCGTCATCTCCCGCGGTCACGGAAATGTTATCGTCATCGTCCGCGATCACGACAAAATCATGAACATTTCCCGCGGCCGAGCAAATATTATCGTCGTCTCCCACGGCCACGGAAACGTCATCGTCGTCTCCCGCGATCGTGACAAAATCATGAACATTTCCCGCGGCCGAGCAGATATCATCGTCGTCTCACGCGGTCACGGAAACGTCATCGTAGTCTGCCGCTGTCACGGAAACGTCATCGTCGTCTCCCGCAGTCACGGAAACGTCATCGTCATCTCCTGCGGTCACGGAAACGTCATCGTCGTCGTCCGCGATCGCGGAAAAATCATGAACATTTCCCACGGCTGTTTAGACATCACCGTCATCTCCCGCGGTAAGGGAAATGTTATCGTCATCGTCCGCGATCACGGCAAAATCATGAAAATTTCCCGCGGCCGTGTAGACATCATCGTCGTCTCCCGCGGTCACGGAAACGTCAACGTCATCTCCCGCGGTCACGGAAACGTCATCGTCGTCGTCCGCGATCGTGACAAAATCATGAACATTTCCCGCGGCCGAGCAGATATCATCGTCGTCTCCCGCGGTCACGGAAACGTCATCGTCGTCTCCCGCTGTCACGGAAACGTCATCGTCGTCTCCCGCGGTCACGGAAACGTCATCGTAGTCTCCCGCGGTCACAGAAACGTCATCGTCGTCTCCCGCGGTCACGGAAACGTCATCGTCGTCTCCCGCGGTCACAGAAACGTCATCGTCGTCTCCCGCGGTCACGGAAACGTCATCGTCGTCTCCCACTGTCACAGAAACGTCATCGTAGTCTCCCGCGGTCACAGAAACGTCATCGTCGTCTCCCGCGGTCACGGAAACGTCATCGTCGTCTCCCACTGTCACGGAAACGTCATCGTCGTCTCCCGCGGTCACGGAAACGTCATCGTCGTCTCCCACTGTCACAGAAACGTCATCGTCGTCTCTCGTGGTTTCGGAAACGTCATCGTCGTCGTCCACTATCGCGGCAAAATCGTGAACATTTCCCGAGGCCGTGTAGACATCATCATTGGCTTTTGCGGTTACGTAAACGCAAGACGACGATCGCGGCAAAATCATGAAAATTCCCGACTTTGAAATCAAATTTAAGACTAAATCCCGACTTTCAAGACCATTTTGAAATTCAATACTAATTCCCGACTTTCCCGATTTTCCCGACTACTAGACACCCTGGACAGCGGAGTCATACCGATGATCGCGCCGTGACCGTGGAGTCTTACCGACGATCGCGCCGTGACCGCGGAGTCCTACCGACGATCGTGCTGTGACCGCGGAGACATGCCAACGATCATGCCGTGACCGCGAGTCATACCGGCGATCACCCCGTGACAGCGGAGTCATACCGACGATCGCGCCGTGACCGTGGAGTCTTACCGACGATCGCGCCGTGACCGCGGAGTCCTATCGACGATCGCGTTGTGACCGTGGAGTCCTACCGACGATCATGCTGTGACCGCGAGTCAAACCGGCGATCACCCCGTGAACGCGGAGTCATACCGACGATCACGACGTGACCGTGGAGTCCCACCGACGATTGCGCCGTGACCATGAGTCATACCGACGATCATCCCGTGACCGCGAGTCATACCGACGATCACCCCGTGACCGCGGTCATTTTGACGATCGCACCGTGACCGTGACCGCGAGTCAAAAGTTTCTATAGGTACCTGTATATTATTACCCATTTTTTTGGTTTTTATAGATCAGCACCACAAACGGTAAAAATTGATTTTGTATGTATTTTTTGGTAATTGCGGTATGACTCAAGACTTTCTTTTCATGCACAGAAAAAATCCCGTCCCGTCCCGTCCCGAAAATCGGGAAGGAAATAAAATTCCCGTCCCGAACTAAAAATTCAATCCCGTCCATCTCTAAAGGTTTACCAACAGGGTAAAACCTATATTAAATATGGCTCACCTGTTGCCGAGCATTATGTTTTTACATAATGAATACAGTAGACTCCCTCTTATCCGGACACCTTTTAACCGGACTACACTCGTCAGAAATTACATCTCTTTAAATGGAAAATTTGTATCAGCACATTGGTTTAACCGGACTAGATCGGCAGGAAGTGGGCAGTACTGAAACCACTGTTCTCGTGGGAAAGATTTAAGACCAGTGATCACGTGTCTAAATACAATGCTCTCCTAAATTTAAGTCGAATATCACAGTAAACAGTCCGTTTTATCGAGTTTTTGGGGACGTCGGTTTAACCGGAAAACCTGTTATCCGGACTGGCCTCGGTCCCAAGGAGTCCGGATAAGAAGGAGTCTACTGTACAGGGTGTCTACTACATTCTGGATAAAAAATTCATGGACAATTCCCGTACATTTAAGGACACTTTGCCGTAACCTTTGTCGGTGTCATTAGGCCTACCGAATAATTTTCCTGATTTGTCAAACTGTATTAATCTTGTTATTAACTGTAGTTGTACCGGTGAAAAGTAAATAATAATAGATAGCCCAAGAGTTAAAAATTTCAAAATAGAAATTTATTGAAAGTAAACAAGCATAGGCCTACCTATACTTTAGGTAAAGCTTTAATAGTGTAACAGAGAAACGCAATCATTGTCTCCTGCAATAGCGACAAATATTTCCATCGGTGACGTAAACTTCATAACATAGCTTATCCGATCCAGGCGGATTAATTTGGCATGATTCGCCCTGGCACAACGTTAGGCTCTCGACTACTTTTGAAAAAAAATCTTCAATGCATATTGTTACTCAGTTCTTAGTACAAAATCATGGTATGGTAAGCGGCTACTAATAAGCAATAAGCACAGAGTAAGATTATTGTATTTTCATTTGCAAAGTTAATATCGACACATAGCAATCATTAGTTGTTTATCTAGGGTCAATTACATTTTCTTAATATATTTTACAGCTCTTTCAAGAATCAAAATACCCAGGCCTAGGCCTAATTATTTAGGAAGGCCTATATAAACTGGTTAACAAACAATGAGGTTATAATAGCAGCAAAGTCACTATCATCATTCTAGTTCATTTAGATATAGATTTAGATAAGATTTAGATAGCTTAAAGCATACAACTCAATAAATAAATATATGGGAAACAAAAAACATTGAAACCTGAATAGCCAACAATATAAGACAAAGATACAGAAAATGCAATGACATAAAATCCAAGCAGGCCTACATAGTGATAAAACATTAATGGAAACAACAATGCTTGTGGTTTTGTCAATTGAAAGATAAAATATCCATAAAAAAGGGGTTAACTTACAAAATAAGACTGTAGATTATTTACATGTTTAATATGAAACCATAAACAGTTTTATGGCACTATAGGCAATGGCACGGCAAATTGAATCTTCAAGCCAAGTACAAGTAAGAAGTGAAATTTAACAGCCATTATAAAGCTATTATTTTCACGATAAAATAGGTTTGGGATCTCATAATAATTCCTCATAATATAATCTCATAATAAGACCTACAGTAGTAATAAAAAAAGAAGTTGTAAAGGAATAAAAGTGATACAACTTTTATGAGCTAGCTAACTGAGTCAACAGTTCTTGGAAGTACTTGACTTGATACTTGATTGTCATGATAAAATATTAATGGGTTTGAGATTGCTAATGGGATTTTTATTGCATAATTACTCTAGTAATAAATTATGAAAATGTAAACAAACATCTGATAAACCTTTTATGTGCTCCTAACCAACTAGCGATCAAGAAAATTATGGCCCATTAAAAATTTAAGGACATAGTCTGGAATTTAAGGACAATTCCCGTACATTTCATGGCCAGTAAAAAATTAAGTACAATTCCCGGTTTTCCCGGATTTCCCGGTTGGTAGACACCCTGTACTGTACTTTAGATGATCAGGAACGCTGACACTTCTGAAAGGCTTGGATCTTTTTTACTTAGGTTAACTTAAATATTACTTATTGTTGTGGCTTGCCCCTGAACTAGTAAGACTTATCCATAGGTTACCAGACCTATAGAGGTTTGTTAAATTTTATTTTGTAATTATTGCTTGCCATCACATTAAAACCTTGGTTGTAGCAACAACTAATTTTGCATAGGGACAAAAAAATCTAAATAATCCTCTGTATAAACTATAAATGATAAAATTGTATAAAGCCTACCTGGTGCTTTAAGCCTAATGTATACTTGACAAAGTTATATGTAAGTCGGTTCCTTTCTTCTTCTTCATCTTTTTCTTTCTTCTCTTTCTTTTCAATTCTTTTCCTGTCTTCCCTCTCAACAGCTGTCAATCTCTGAAGTTTAAAGTGACCTTAACATAAAAATCAATCAATCAATCTACTGGATCAAATTTATAAGAAACGGTACGGTATAGAGACATTTTTGTTTTGTGTATTTGATCACTAGTCAAGAGAGTGTGTGGTAAGCGTATCGGACTTTGAACAACTTTATCCCTGAAAGCGTTTGTTGAGGCATACTCACTTAATGGAAAAATGCCACCAGTGTAGACAAGAAATAATAAACGGTATCAGCAAGCTGACACAGACTTTCTCCCATTAGCTTGTCATCAACTCGTATCATTGGTAAGCGGTGGGAGTAAATATGAGTTTTTATGCTCGAGAAAAATAACGATAGTTCAACAACTTTTAAACCGTAATTTTTACAGCAATGGGGGTTGTACCATTTTGTTTTAGAGTTCAAAGGACCATAGCCTACTAAAATTTAAAAAAAAATCACTCAAGCTGTGTTTTTTAATCAGTTTTTTCTGTCATTTTCTGGGTTATAATGGGAAAATCACTTAAGTTGCAATATCTTTTTAACTGTGATTTTACAGGAATGGAAGTTAGGTAGATTGTTTAGAGTAAACAAGAATATATTAGGCTATACTAAATTTTAACAAAAATCTAAATTTATTCCAGCGAGTTTATTCCAACCAGCATGATTGGATTTTTTGATTGATTTTTTTTATTATAAAAAGAATTTTTCAAATCATAAATTTCAAAAAGAAAACTATAAATTTAAAATTTTACTGTAAATCTTATGGAGGATAAGTAAACTGATGTAGATTGCTTGTTTATAAATAGCCTATATTTTGATAAAATTTTGTAAATAAATTTATTTATTTCATGCCAAACTATTCACATTTTAAATTTTTTTAACTATGATATTGTAGTAGCCAACCTAAGTACTCCCTAAACCTAATGTTATTTAAATGGGAAATATATCTAACACGTTTTATGGAATTTTAGTGGAAATCCGATTTGGCAAATGGAAGTTTTCTGCGGCAGATTCAGCTAGATTACTGGAGGGTTTGGATTATTAAGGTCAAAATTATAAAGGTTTTACAGTATGTATATGGTTCCAAAGAACGTCAAATATATTTTATCAATTAATTTTTAAATATTAAAGTGTAGAGAAGGATACATTAACTATCCTGGCCATTGTGTTAATCACTATTATAAAAATAAAGTCAATCGATTTACCCAATTGATCGCTCCAAACAGGTGCATACACCACAGGTTTTATGCATGCCTGTAAAACAATGATGGCCCGTGCAAAGTCACGTGCATTGACACATGAACTGACGGCCGTGATCCAAGGTTTTCGCAGCTGCGGCCAGTTGACATGCATAAACGCACTTTGTATGTTGTTTTCTAAGGACAACATTGTCTGACGCAGAGTGTTAACCAGCTGTGCTCTACTGCCTGCAAACACAAATACAAGAAATAGATCACAAGTCATAACAAAGACATTTATTAAAAAGTTACACTATCTTCATCTGCAATCCTTTATTTGCCTGACACTATGAAATAGTTGTGTAAAAACAACTGCTACATTTAGACAGTTCTCTCGGAATATTACTCAGAAAATTTAATTATACAAGGCCAGCCTCCGTTGTAATTCATATCCCCAACTACAGTCCAACCTCAGTATAACGAATCTGAAGGGACCGAACTGAATATTCGTTATATCAAGGATTTCGTTAAAACGAGGTTCGTTATATAGAGGTTAGGTTTGCAGGAATTTCGCTAAGTTGAGGTTCAGAACCAGCATCCGTCAAAATAGGTCGGGATTCGACCTCATTAAAATACAATTAAAGTAGCATAGGCTACAATACTTTACAGTTCAGTGTTTACATTGTACAGTAGAACCTAAATTATCCGGCATAATAAAGGGGAGGGATCTTGAATATTGCGCAACAATGGCATTGACCTTGGTACAGGTTAAAAACTGTAAGTTTAAAATCACAGCTTGATCTAACCCTCCTAAAACCTAGCCAAAAACTGTATTGCGTAGTCATAAACCATGTAAAGAACAAAACAAAACAGTAGAAAGTTTTGCAAGCTACTGCTCGTGATAGGCCGGTAGGCTACTTACAGTAAGTACGGTACAGTACTGATTTATCACAACAGAGGAATGTCAATAATAATCATCAACTATTATAGGTGTTGCTAGTTGAAACAAATCGTATTGAAAACAATAAATTATTAGATAGGCTAAGTCATTATAAAAGTGTATAATCATAGCCAACTTAAGGATGATTAAAATATTAAAAATAAAATTAAAAGGAATGTTACAATAACGATGTTGCTATATTTCTCTTTGGTTTTGTTTTTATATTCTTTCTTAGGTTTCTCTTTATCCAAAAATTGTACAATTCACCATAGTTATCCCATATCGCCCAATCACAACTTACTAAACATTACGTCGTCATCAGTTATCAGTGAATGAAATCAGTTCTCAGTTGCAACATAGCGCGCGCAACGACAGCAGACAAAGTTGTAAAACGGAGCAGACGAATGTTAGCGCAAGCGATGACGTGACCTTTCCATTTCATTTGATAAAGAAACAGATTTTCCCAAAACAATAATTGGGTGGGGGATTTGTTATATCGAGGGAAAGACGTAGACAATTCGTTATGCAGAGGTTAAATTCGCAATGTAGAGGTTCTGACAACAGGGTGTCTAGTTTATTTCCATTATAAAATTCAAGACTAATTCCAGACTTTTCAAGACTAATTCCAGATTTTTCAAGACTAGTTTTTTCCACAATTAGTGGGTGTTGAAACCAAATTGTATCAATTCTCGATTCTTGATATCGATACCAATTTTGATAGCTTAACCAAATTTTCTAAATAATACTACACCAACTATTTGTCATAAAGTAGTATTATGATAATGTGGTGTTTAAAAAAGTAGGGATGGTCAAGTCTCGAAATTTCGGGAAATTTTAAATCTCGTTACACGAGACGAGATTTCTTTTTGGCCGAGATTTTTATCGAGACGAGAATAAAAAAAAATAAAAAAATTTAAATTTAAAATCGCCTGCAGAAAGTCAATGCAAAACCCGCAATACAGGAGCGTGTTGTAGTTGCGTTTCCTTTGCGAAGGCGTTCTTATTTAATTAATTCTTTAAATGTAAATATTACTTTAATTATTTAAATAATATTACTTAAATAACATTTGAGAAGTTTTGTTAAGTGTAAGCAGTGTGAGGAATGTTTTATTACTATAAAAAGTCAAAACAAGTAACTATTTTATAAAAATTAATATTGCTTTTATTTTATGATTTATTTTATTTTAGGATAAGTTGAACTCTATCCTAACTGATATCACTATGTTTTCTAATCGTAGGCATTTTTAATAAGTTAGGCGTGATTAATAAAAAAATGTTATGCTGATGTTTTTTAATAAAATATTGTAAATATTCTTGCCTATTATCGTTTTTTTTTTTTGTATTTAAACAGTCATCTAACAATGTTACAAAATGACAGATATTTTGTGGATCCGATCGGGCGTCGGTTCTAGCTCAGATCCGGCGGATCCGGTAGTCCGATATCCGGATCCGACCATCACTAATAATAATGAATGTTCCCTTTAACAGGAAAGTACCAAAAGTTACAACTAAAACTTATCATAAGTTATAATGCACATTCTTCAAATAAGGTATAGTTAAATATGTATAACAGTCCAGCCCAGATAGATATTTCCCAAAATCTTTAAACTTTTAGGATTTAAAACTTATTACATGAAAACTATTCTTCAAAACAAGCTTGACACCAGCTTAAACAAAAATCTCAGACTCCCACACATCTAATTGACAGGTCAATTTCTGTAAGAGAGCCCAATTTTTAACCGTCCAGTATGTTTAAACAAAGTTTTTCCATTAATTCAATAGTTATATGTTATTTTATTTGTGATTTTCAACATCAAAATCCATGTAGATTTATTGTTTAAACACAAAACCAATATCAAAACTATCAGAGATTGTTTATTGTAGTAGACATGGGTGTCCACATATCTTTTTATAAGGAGGCCGGATGATCTGGAGGTACTGAATAACCCCCAGTGAAGAGAGGGCATAATAATACTCTACTTACAACTGAGGCACAAATTGTTAATTTTATGCATTTTTGCGCCTAAATTTGCTTTGTCAATTCATTGTTTTTTAATCGTTTAATTTATTTAACTTTAGTTATTACTGAACAATCTGTAAAAAATATGCTTAACGTGGGGTCTCATTGGGGAGGGAGGGAGGCTCGAGCCCCCCCTAGCCCATATGGATTGGTGCCTGTGGGATTAGATTTTATTTTTCTTTAGCACACAATGAACCTGTGAGCTGGATAGGTGAAAGTTTTACAATACCAGTGTCCCAAGTAACTCCAGAACTGACGTGTTTAATTGATCCCCACACAAAATCATATCCAATAATACCTTACTGACAGACAAAGAAAATCAATTTGGTTATACTGGAGAGTTTTCAGCGCTTGGTAAATTATTGTTTAGGTGATTTCTTCATTGTGAACAAGATCGCTAAATAATTAACACCTACTAACATCACCAAGATTCAAGACTATTCGTATACACACCGTAGTAAGCACCAGCCCACTTGAACTCTGATGCCTGCGTGAGTGAGAACTTATGAGACAAATGCCTCTTTTTATCTCTCTCTTCGTTGCGCTGTTGTTTGTTTAAAGCTGCAATGTTGGTGCTATATTGATTTACATAAGTTTTAAAACCATTCTCCATTCCAAGTTTAAAAAGATGAGTTCCTGAAACAAAACAACAAAAAGTTAATCAGAATGCGATCTTTTAGACATCAACTTAAGAAAAATTTCCAATTAAGAATATAGTTAAGGAAACTAATTAAGTGATTACCTTTAGTGAAAGAGAAAAATTCAGTTGTGTAATCGAGATAGGTAACCAAAAGAAATACCCCCGCCGCAGCAAACCTGCAGACTAAGCGAATTTCCATTTCCCTAAATGGATTTACACTAAAATGTCTCCTTAAAAATATCACATTTATTCCCTATTTAAATAGAATCAGTTTAAAACATACTTAGGTTTGCTGCAACAGGGAGGGTAAAAGTGTTTTTTTATGTAAAATGTTAATAGTTAGTAAGAAATAAAAACATTTTCCAAATTTGGGCAAAATATGTTTATAAACAAGCAAACTACAACAGTTTACTTATTCTCCATAAGAATAACATGGGAATTTTAAATTTACAATTTTTTGGAATTTTCTCCGTAACCATTAGGCGCATTATAACGCTTCAATATACTAAATTATTTGTTTTTTTAAGCTCTACAAAATAGTTTCGAAAGAAATTGCAAAATTTTATGTTTTTTGGGTCAAAAATGGGAAAAACCCATTTTTACCCCATAAAAGCCCCCATAAACCCCCGTTCCCATGGTCCGATCATGCTGGTGCGCGAACTCGTTCGAATAAACGTAGGTTTACACGTTTGTACCAAATTTCATCAAAATCGGATCATTTTTGCTCGAGTTATCGCGCTAACGGACACATATATATATATATGTATATATATATATATATATATAAATATATATATATATATATGAATTTGAATGGATGGTGTTTTTGACCTCTAGGGACCTCAAAACGAAAAAAAAAATCGGTCCCGGGTCCAGGTCTTACCGTGAGTACTACGGTAATAGCTTATTCCCTATATGGGAAATTCGCTAAAACATGCAAATATTTTTATATTCCTTAAAATGTTTACATCAAAATATAACTTACATTCTTTCATTTCCAATTTTAGCAACAAATTGACGTACTCAGAGTTTAATCATTATCATACAATTGTTTTTTAAGTTGACTTTAGACTGTAGGTACCTGAGGCAATCTGCTGAGCCTTGAGCCTAGTCAGCCTACTGCCTGACTCTGTGTCAGGAGTAGATGGATCCTTGCGTTCTCCCACCTTGTCCCCAGCAGCACTTCTCCTCTTCAGATCATCTATGTTAAAGGTTCTTGGCTGTAAGGATCCTGTCTTGGACCTTGTAACAATTATGTGTTTCTTACCTAAGGAAATATAATGAAATTTTAATAAGTATTTAAAATATGTACCGTAGAAAGTTAACAAAAATCTTAAATCACATATTGATCTTTGCTTTTAGGATTTTTGTGAGGATAGCAGGCTTACCTGAATGGGAAAAAGTCCAAACTGGCACAAAACATTAGAATATTTCACTGTCACTGATATCATTTTCAACTAAGGCTCTCTTTTCCTTGGTTGAAAACGCTATCATTGACAGAGAAAAATTATAATTTTTTGTGTTTATAATGTAAAGTTGTGTGTCTATTGTGCCAGTTTAAACTTTTTTCCATTCAGGTAAGCCTGCTATCCTCAAAAAAGTCCTAAAATCCTAGGCCCTTGTTCTCTATGTTACATCCTTAACCTCATATTTATCTTTGTTTTTAAAACACGATCATACCGTCTTTTCCAATTTTTGTGAATCCTTCTTCTGAATCATTTGGAGATGAATCAGTTTCATCATCGTCCTCCATCTTATCAGCCTGAGATCCATCCCCAGATGAAACTGAAAAACACAAGCTCAACTAAAACATCTATTTGAAAATGTACTTGGTAAAGTGTACTTTGAAAATGTACTTGAAAATTGACAAATTGTCAAATACCCAAAATAATGCTTCTAAAATATACAGGTCATAAAATGTCAAAACGCTAAAAGCCTGAAAGATGATTTTGCATGGACTTCTTCGGGGAAGTATTCATTTGCTGAATTAATAACACCATTATGTATTTTATGACGATTGTTAATGCAAATATTGTGAAATGTCTACAACAATAAATTGATTAGATTTGATTTAATTCAATTTTAGTTATAGAATACTAAAATGGACTAGTATAGTGCGAGTTCAACTATAGTGTTTAAGAGGGTTGCACCCGCCAGCTGATTATGTGTAAACATGGTCCTACAAAAAAGAACGTACCGGCATTATTTAAGTGTTTATAGAGTTTAAATCTATATTTATAAAAGAGGAAGTTTTGTATATATATAAATATTTAACCTGGAGGCGAGTTAGCGTAGCGAACGAGCTAACCTGAAGGCAAGTGAGCGCAGCGAACGAGCTCCAACCTAAAGGTGAGTGAGCGTAGCTAACGAGCTCTAACCCAAAGGTGAGTGAGCGTAGCGAACGAACTTCAACCAGGACGTGATTGAGCGATGCGAACGAGATCATCTTGAAAATTAAACGTAACGGTACTTTCTTTCCATCGGTCTGTCTTAGGGGAAACCTATAACTTAGGCGATACGAAGTTCGCCGGGTCAGCTAGTATATATATATATTTGAACGTAATGGACTCCGAAACCGCTTGACAGATTGTAATGAAACTTTCAGGTGTTATTAAGCATTATTCAAGGATGGTTTGTGTGAAGTTTGGTGCAGATCCGTCAAAAGGGCTCCGCCCCAGTGGCTCTGGAGTTTCCCATGTTAACCTTATGAGTACTTATATTTAAATGGAGTTAAAGAATCTGAATAAATCTGGCCTAATAAAAGTTTTAGAATGTTGAGAGCTTGTACCCTAGAGGCATGTTCTACAACATTAGCATGTTTAGCCACCATCTTGAATTGGCCGGGTAGAACACTCTTAAATAACAATGCTAAGAGCAAGGCCTTCTGTTATTGTTAAATTATATAATTTCCCACACAGAATCAGGTGATCCAAAATATCGTTAACAGAAGAGTACCTGAAGTAGTGGTTGTGGTAGTAGTTGTTGTCATTTCTGTTGTTATTTCAGTGGTGTCAGTTACAACCTCAGTTTCTATGGAGCTGCATACAGTTTCTGTTGTCACCTGCAAAGTTTTACAATATATAGCCAACCCTTTATACATTTGGGGAAATGTTCAAATATTAACTAAATATTCTTTGCACTTTGATTCATTAACACAATAATTTGTTATAAAATAACATCAACTAGGCCTATGTAAAGAAGATTAAAATATTGATAAAATAAATTAATAGATGTAGTTTATTGGTAGTGTATTATCTTTAGGAGGGTACAGTTCCACAGAGAACCTAAGATATAATATCGGATGAAATCAAAATCAAATCAAGACAACATTTTTTTTTTTTTTTTTTTTTTTTTTAAGAGTAGGGCTATACAGGAATACACATAAAAATAAATTCTGCGAAAAAATGCTTCCACGTGTGCAATAGATTACTTCCATCCAAATCCCTGTATCACAAAACAAAAATAATTTGCCCAGTTCTCCTATAAGGATTAGAAACATGGAAAATAAATAAGAAAAATGAAAAGAAACTAATTGTATTTTAAAATAAAATTCTAAGGAAAATTTATGGACCCAGGCCTATACAGAGTTAGGCTAAAGTCTGGAACCCGCCAGTTAACTTTTTAATGCATTGTAGTAGGAAAACCAAACTCGGCACATATTTACAACATAAGAAATTGCACTTACTTTTTCATCAAAGTTACAAGTTTGCCCTAGCCCCAAAATGGGGTAGGCTATTTTGGGGGCAGCTCCAAATTTTCAAATGTAAATAGGCTACCAATCATGTGACCCCTCATTTTAAAGGGTTTATCAAGAGAAATTAAATGGCGCAAACCAGAGGTCAATATCACACCCCTAATCGAAATGGCAGCCATTTTAATTTAAGATGAGCATGCAAGATAAAGTCTGGACACCCCCAGTTAACTTTATAACGTGTGGCAGTGGGAAAACCAAACTCTGTACATGTTTACAACATTTAAAAATGCACTTTTTCATTTAAGTTAGAACTTGTACCCGGCCCCCAAATTCAAATACAGACACCTATCATGTGACCCCTCATTTTAAAGGGTTTCTCAAGACAAACTAAATGGCGCAAACTAGAGATCAATATCGCACCCCTAATCAAAATGGCTGTCATTTTTAAATATCCCCCATTAGCTTTTTAACAGGTTATAGCAAGAAAACTAATCTCAGCATACCTTTATAAAAAAAGAGAATTCACCTTTTGGTCAGTATTAAAATATTAAATTTTCAAAGTTAACTGGGGGTGTCCAGACTTTATCTTGCATGCTCATCTTAAATTACAATGGCTGCCATTTTGATTACTGGTTCGATATTGACCTCTAGTTTGCACCATTCAATTTCTCTTGATAAACCCTTTAAAATGAGGGGTCACATGATAGGTGAATATGAAAAGAGGTGAAGAATGCAGACTGAGAAGTATTCTATGGCAACACGGTTGGAAGGCGATTTCGAGGAAGACCAAAACAGAGATGGTGGAAACAAGTGAAGGTCCCTAGAGACCAAAAACACCATCCGCTCAAATTCATATATATATATATATATATATATATATATATATATATATATATATACAGTAGACTCCCTCTTATCCGGACTCCTCGGGACCGAGGCCAGTCCGGATAACGGGTTTTCCGGTTAAACCAACGTCCCAAAAAATTGTTAAAACAGACCGTTTAAATGTGTACTGTATATACTATTTGACTTAAATTAGAAGAGCATTGAATTTAGATCACTGGTCTCAAATCTTTCCCATGAGAACAGTCGTTTCAGTATCGCCCACTTCCTGTCGATCTAGTCCGGTTAAACGGATGTGCTGATAAAAATTGTCCGGTTAAAGAGATGTCATTTCCCCTGAGTGTAGTCCGGTTAAACCGATGTCCGGTTAAAAGGTGTCCAGATAAGAGGGAGTCTACTGTATCTAAATACTATACACTCGCATATGTAACTCACTCACGGAAGATACTAATGTTTCAGCACTTCTAGAGGAGCTAGGGAGTTGAAATTTGGCACACTTGTAGGTTTTGGGCCCAAACCCCCAGGAAAATTGTGAAAAGTTACATTTTCAAATTTTAACCATCCCAAAATCTTATGGGGCATTGAATAGTAATAGCATATGTATAATATATGTATAAAATAATGGCATTGACAGTTACCGACTTTGGTGTACTCATTTGTACCGTTTAGAAACATGATAGAGCCTTAAAATTTGGTAGTATCGTAGTATAGGATCTTAAATTAACGGGGAAATTTGTAAAAGTCCCATTTTCAAATTTTAACCACCCCCATAATCCAAAATGGTGGGCCTCTGAAAACGACAAAACACGTTTTTTTCAAAGGGCTATAGCTCGAAAACGGTAAGAGCTAGAAAAGATTTGAAAGAATTTTCTACAAAACCCTCTTAGGCGTTTTCCGAAAATCGCACTCCTTCAGCTTCAAAAAACGCCCTACTTTCAAAACTTAGTAAATTTCTTTCAAATTTTTACCGGTTTTCGCTATTTTTTTATACCTAAATAACATTTTTTTTTTGCAAATATTATTAATGCTTTGTATCTTCCTTAGTTTACTTTAAATTTTACTCACTAAGTGTTTTTTCGTAACTTTACTCCTTGACCCCCAAAACTTATTTTTAATCTCAAAATTTGAAGGTTTTTTACCACTATTACGAACCCCATGTTATTCTTACGGAGAATAACATTGAAAGTAGCCGACTTTGGTGTGCTCATCTGAACCGTTTAGAAACGTGCTAGAGACTTGAAATTTAATAGTATTGCAGTATGGTATCTTACATTAACGGTGAATTTTGCAAAAGTCCCGGTATGACTCTGCGGTCACGGGGTGATCGTCGGTATGACTCGCGGTCACGGCGTGATCATCTGTACGACTCCGGGGTCACAGGGCAATCGTCAGTATGACTCGCGGTATCGGCGGGATCGTCGGTATGACTCCGCGGTCACGTCGCGATCCCCACGACGGTATGACTCATGATCACGGCATGATGGTCGGTATGACTGCGGTCACAGGACGATCGTCGGTATGACTCCGTGGTGACGGGGTGATTGTCGGTATGACTCACGCTCACGGCGTGATCGTCGTTATGACTCCGCGGTCACGGGGTGATCGTCGGTATGACTTCGCGGTCACGTCGCGATCGTTGGTATGACTTCGCGGTCAAAGCGCGATCGTCGGTATGACTCGCGGTTTCGGCGGGATCGTCGGTATGACTCCGTGGTCACGGCGCGATCGTCGAAATGACTTCGCCTCCTGCGTTCGCGGAACATCTCTCGCGATAGCGGCGTTATCGTCGCGCGCGAAGCGGCAAAATCGCCGACGATCGGACCAAATCCCGTCCCGAAAAATTCCCGAAGCAAATGTAATCCCGTCCCGAATATCGGGAATATTTTTTTCCCGAAATTTCGGGACCCGTCTATCCCTACCTAAGAGTGGTTTGTAGAAAATGTAATTCCTGACCATGAAAATTCTTTCAAATCTTTGCTAGCTCTTATCATTTTTGAGTTATAGCCGTTTAAAAAATGTGTTTTGTCGTTTTTAGTTTTCCGCAATTTTGGATTTTTTGGGAGTTAAAATTTGAAAATGGGATTTTTGCAAATTTAACCATTAACTAAGGATCCCGTACTACAATACTACCAAATTTCAAGTCTCTAGCATATTTCTAAACGATTCTGATGACCATACCAAAGTCATTAAATTTCAATGTTATTCTCCATAAGAATAACATGGGGCTCGTAAAAACTTTCAAATTTTGACATTAAACCTCAGTTTTGGGGGTCAAGGAGTATAGTTACGAAAAAACATTAAATTATTAAAATTTTAAGTACAGTAAGGAAAATACAAAGCATTAATAATATTTGCAAAACTAATTTACTTAGGTTGGGAAAAGTAGCGAAAACCGCTAAAAATTTGAAAAAAATTTACCAAATTTTGAAAATATGGCGTTTTTTTTAAGGTGAAGGAGTGCGATTTTCTAAAAATTCATAGTAGCGTCTTGTAGGAAATTTAATTCCTGCCCATGAAAATTCTTTCAAATCTTTTCTAGCTCTTACCGTTTTCGAGCAATGGCCGTTACAAAAAAACCTGTTTTGTCGTTTTCAGAGGTCCGCCATTTTAGATATTTGGAGGGGTTAAAATTTGAAAATGGGACTTTTGCAAAATTCACCGTTAATGTAAGATACCATACTGCAATACTATTAAATTTCAAGTCTCTAGCACGTTTCTAAACGGTTCAGATGAGCACACCAAAGTCGGCTACTTTCAATGTTATTCTCCGTAAGAATAACATGGGGCTCGTAATAGTGGTAAAAAACCTTCAAATTTTGAGATTAAAAATAAGTTTTGGGGGTCAAGGAGTAAAGTTACGAAAAAACACTTAGTGAGTAAAATTTAAAGTAAACTAAGGAAGATACAAAGCATTAATAATATTTGCGGTTTTTGAACGTATAGACGGAGAGATTATCTCATGTATCTTACAAATAGAGCTCTATTACGTGAAAGTAGAAGAAATATCATATCAGAGAGGTAAGCTTAGTTATGACTGGACTTCAGTCAGTAAAGGCCAAGCAGTCAAGTCTATGTCACGTATAGTTATGGTAACTTTACTTCTGTACAGGCCTAGGCAATCAATGTATTTATATATGATAGGCGACTGTTTTCAATATTTTAAATTACAGAATTCCTGCTTTATAAATGCAGGTTCTATTTTCAATAACGAAGAGTTTCTTTTACTGTATTTAAACCAATATTTGCTACAAAACTAATAGCAGTAAGGAAAATTAAAAGAAACAACCACTGCTTGGAATAATTCAGTCGATTTACAGTAATTATGTATGCGAATGCGATATGGCTACGACAGCCGCGGGTCTAGCACCCTCCGAATCCTTCAAATGAGGATTTGCTGCTCTGTTCAAACCAAAATTTTGATGAAACACTAAGCGCGATAGAAAAAAATTTGAATACAAACAGTAATATATATTTAATTACCTATCAACAACTTTACCTCGGATAAAACTTCTCTGACCAAAAAAGACAATGTTAGTAGTTGACTAACTTATTCATGTCTCGTTTCCAGTTTTTATCCAAAATAAACTTTAAATATTAATGAACGTAACCAAACAAATATTAATTTTAAAAATATACTCTTTGTATGACGGGATTATTTTCAAGCTGTCTACCTATTTTCAAAATTTGATCTTAATATTGTAAGGTTGTTAAAATCAATAGTAAATTTATAACGTCTACTCTACTAGTTTTTGCCGATTCCGAGGCGTTATATGCTTCTTGCATCGCTTCTACATCAAACCAAAGATTAGAAAAAACCTTGTGTATCACTTAATTAATGTTCATGCCCGTTCTATAATACTGAAGTAAGTTATTATTCTGTGTTCGCTGGTTAAAGTAGCCGATTAAAATTGTTTTTTAACTCCTATTTGCAAGGATCAATATTATTTCATGTTCATATAAAACATTTAGTCAACATCAGCGTATTCTAACATTTCTAACACGAATCATTCTGAAAATCAAGACAGTAAATATTTTCCGCCATTGGTAAAACAACATTTAAACATTCATATATACCATTTCTCAGTAATACAACCTAAGAGTAGTAATCAATGATCAATGGTATTAATTGGACTGTTCTCTTTTGTACTGTATTTTCTAATTTGCTAGCTTACTGTAGATGGTTTGTCATAACCAAATGTCATTAGTCTCTTTATTTACATTTACGTTGTTTTGTTAATTGGTAACCATCATAGCAACCCATATGACCAATGTTAAAAATTTTAGATTAGTTTTAATAGGTACAGACATTATCAAATTGAAATTTGTTGTTGTACAAACATGCTCACTGTTTGTTTAAATAACTCTGGGAAGTTTGGCTATAATGTGTTCAGCCGTTATTGAGTTATCTGATTACATAGTTTGCATAAGTTCCGATCTCAAAGAGCTTCGCTCGCTCCGCTGAGTTAAGTGCATAGGTGAGTGGCTGGTTTTGCATATTCAGTAACAAGAAAGGGATGAGTTATATCTTAGTTTATATAACTTGTATGTAGCACTATTCATGTACAATTACATTACTTATGAATAATTAGACTTGACCCTACATTGACTCTTTAATATAATCAAGGATACTATTAGTATTTTTAGTATATTTAGTATATATACTAGTAAATTAGTATACATCTAAAGTACTAAAGTATATTTACTAGATGTATACTAATTTACTAGTATATTTAGATTGTTAGCCAGTATGAACTCACAACAGTAAGATCTCCAATGTTATCTGGGTCCCCAGGAAACCCAGCAGACTCTTCATGCATCTGTCTCACCATGTCTTCAACATCTTGTCTTTCTTTTTCTTTTTTATCTTCTTCTACTCTTTTCTTTTCTTCTTCTTCCTTCCTTTCTTTTTCTTTCTTTTCTTCTTCTTCTTGTCTCTTTTTCTCCTCTTCTTCCTTAATTTTCCTTTCTATTCGTTCTTTTTGTAGTTTGATTAGATTGTCTAAAAGTAAAAATGTTGTTTAATATCTATTCTTTTAGTTAAATAATTGAATGTTTTATAAATAATAAAGTTACTGTAGTCACTGTTTTATTTGACATAAATATTTCTGAAACGCCCAACTGTGGTAAACTTAATAAACTTAATAAAAAATAGGGGATCACTAACCTAAAATTATATGTATTTATTTTTAAACAATTTACAATTGGGGATGATTTGATTTGATTCCTAAAGTCGATTCTCAATTCCACTGATTCTCGGCTTTAGAATCTGAATCGAAAATGGACCACTTAAAGTCGATTCTGATCTCGATACCTGACTCGTAAGCGCAATCAAAAATTACCGCAAATGTCGCAATCGCACAAGACAACGATGTCTACATTCGATGTCTACATTCGATGTCTACACGGGAAATGTTTCTGACATAATAATATCAAACTTTTTACAAGTTCGCCTCTATTAAAAATTTGTTCTAATAAATTTCATTGTAATATCGAAGGAATCGGAATCAAGCATCAATGTAATCGGAATCAAGAATCGATTTCAAAGAATCAAAATCGCAGTGTGTCTGCACTGAGCCCTTCTAGAGCTCTGAACCTTTCTATTAAATTAAAATAATAAGTTAAAACCGTGGACCAATTTTGGTATTGACCCCTGGATTTCATCGGCTACTTCTGAGCATGCCAGGAAAGAAATTTGATTATAGCTGGTTCTAGGGGTAGGTCTAGGTCTAGCCTGTTTTGTGAATGCAATTTTATTCTTCTGGATATTTTTGTCACAATGCACTGGTTTGTTTCAATAGTTTCTAGCGAACCTTTTGGACTTTCTAATACTACAAGAAAAAAGAGGAGAGGGTTTGCTGAAAAACTAGTATGATATTGGGAAATTTCTCATCAGGACCTTTTGTAAGTGGTTGATAGGTGTGCGGCTTACAGTTTTATCGAATGTTTGTACAGTAGAATTTCGATAACAAATCAACCTTGATAACAAGTGTCATTTTCAAATTCCATAGAAATTATTTTACCCCTAATCACGAATGTTATTGCAAACCTCAATAAGAAGTCAACCTTAAAGTCTTATTTAATAATCCCCATGAGGGTTTAGTTGTTCTACTGAATTCCTCATTAATGATATATATTGTGTACAAACAGCTATGATATTAAATAAGTTAAACTGATTGTTGAATCAAATTAGAAGACTCACTGTTCTCAGTTTCCAAATAAGACTTTTTATTTCCCTTGTGCTGGTTAGTTATTTTCTCAGTTAGCTCCATTTGTCTGATGATTTCATCCTTGAAATCACTTATTTCCCGACAGAGCTGTGCTTCATATTCTTTTGGGTCCAATGTCTCCAATAACTCATCAAGCTGAGCAGGTGTCGAGTAATACCAAGCATCTCCATCCTCACTCTCCCTATAAATGCAAACATAACCATTGATTACTATCATCTCAATTACTTAGTTATTTGCAGATTTGATCAATGACGGATCATGAGACCTCAAATTTAATGTTTTTACTGAAGTCAGCAATACGAAAGGCACACTAAAGTATAGACCAGAGGTATCCAACCTTATATTCTTTTAGGGCCACATTGTGAATTTTTTGAGGGAAGGGCCATATTTATAATGAGAATCGATCGGGAAATTACCACTGTTGCCGGGAACGTGCAAGACTACGATGCTGTCTACACTTTGATGAAGAAGTTCATGATGAGATTTTACCGCAAACGCGGACGACGATGATGTTTCCGTGATCGCGGGAGATGATGATGAGGTTTCCACGGTCATGGGAAATATTCATTATTTTGCCGCGATCGCACAGGACGATGATCACATTTTCATGACCACAAAAGACGATGATGATTATGTCTACATGGCTGCAGAGATGTTCATGATTTACCCTCGATCCCGGACGACGAAGATGACATTTCTGTGACCGCGAGGGTCAATGATGTCTACATGGCTGCGGGAGATGTTCATGAGTTTGCCACGCTCACGGAAAATGATGACGATATCTACACGGCCGCAGATGATGTTCATGAGTTTGCCACGACCGCTGACGACGATGATGTTTCCATGATCGCAGGAGATGATGATGAGGTTTCCACGTCCATGGAAAATGATCATTATTTTGCTGTGATTGGGGACAACGATGATAATGTTTCCGTGACTGCGGGATTCAATGATGTCTACACGGCCGCAGAAGATTTTCATGATTTTGCCGTGATCGCGCAGGACGATGATCACGTTTCCATAACCACGAAAGACGATGATGATTATGTCTACATGGCCGCAGATGTTCATGATTTTGCCGCGATCCCGGACTACGAAGATCACGTTACCGTGACCGCGGGAGTCAATGATGTTTACATGGCTGCGGGAGATGTTCATGAGTTTGCCACGCTTAAGGAAAATGATGATGATATCTATACAGCCGCGGATGATGTTCATGAGTTTACCGCGGTCGCGGATGACGATGATGATGTCTACACGGCCAAGGAAGATGTTAATGATTTTGCCGCGATCGCGGACGACTACAATGATGTTTTTTTTTGTTTATCCTCTTTATTAATGATTTGCCTAACTCTATACCTTACAAAACAATTTTATATGCTGACGACACAACCTTCATTTCATCAGCTGACAACTTTCACTCTGCAAACCAAAGTATAGAAAACGCCATTGAATTAGGTAAGCTGTGGTTTGAAAGTAATTTTCTTGAAATAAAGCATGATAAAACAGAACAAATTTGTTTTGCTTTGCGTAATCTTGAAACAGACAATGCAGTTTCTGTTAAAACTACTTGGAATATCCATAGACTCAAAACTCACTTGGGAAATACATACCAATAATATCATTTAAAAATTGTCAAGAGTATGTTGTTTGATAAGAAAACTAAAAAATTGTGTTTCTAAACCAACACTTCTAATTGTTTACCACAGTTTATTTCACTCACACTTGCTGTATGGCAATATACTGTGGGGTAATAGCTCAGGAGCTCACCGGGTCTTTACATGGCAAAAGAAGGTTCTCAGAATTATGTTTGGAATTCCAGATAGGGTTAGTTGCAAAGCATTTTTTGCTGAAAATAGAATCATGACACTCTATAATATTTTCATTTTTAACAATTTAGTTTCCGTTAAAGTAAAGAGAATCTAAATAAATTTGTTCCTTGCAACTCAATCCATGGGTATATCACCAGACAATCAAAAGATTTATATATTCCTCAAGCCAGGCTAACAAAATTTATCAAAAGTTATAAATGTTTGCAAATAAAACTATTGAATAAACTTCCAATATATTTTAGAAATCAGGAAATCATTCCATTTGTATAGGTCAAAATTATCAGATTGGCTTACAAGTCGTGCTTTTAGCGAATTTCCCATATAGGGAATATGCTATTACCGTAGTACTCATGGTAAGACCTGGACTTGGGACCGATTTTTTTTTCGTTTTGAGGTCCCTAGAGGCCAAAAACACCATCCTTTCAAATTCATATATATATATATATATATATATATATATATATATATATGTCCGTTAGCTCGAGCAAAAATGATCCGATTTTGATGAAATTTGGTATAAACGTGTAAGCCTACATTTATTCAAACGAGTTCGCGAACCAGCATGATTGGACTATGGGAACGGGGGTTTACGGGGGGTTTTATGGGGTAAAAATAGGTTTTTCACATTTTTTACCCAAAAAACATAAAATTTTGCAATTTCTTTCCAAACCATTTTGTAGAGCTTAAAAAAAAACAAATAATTTAGTATATTGAAGTGTTATTATGCACCTAATGGTTACGGAGAAAATTTAAAAAAAATGTAGTCTAAATTTAAAATTGCCATGTTATTCTTATGGAGAACAAGTAAACTAACTGTTGTAGTTTGCTTGTTTATGAACATATTTTGATCAAATGTGGAAAATGTTTTTATTTGTTACTAACTATTAACATTTTACAACAAAAAAAAACAGTTTTACCCTCCCTGATGCAGCAAACCTAAGTACTTGTTAAACTAATTCTATTTAAATAGGAAATAAATGTTATATTTTTAAGTAGAAATTTTAGTGTAAATCCAATCAGGCAAATGGAAATTCGCTTAGTCTGCAGGTTTGCTGCAGCGGGGGTATTTATTCAGTCGAGGAGTTTTTGCAGAATGTAAATTTTTCAACTCTTAAATGTGAGGCCAAGCAGTCTTGATTATTCTTTGTTTTTGTTATGGTTTTTTCCCTGTTAATTTCAAAGTTTTTTTATTATTACTGATGCTTTATTCTTTTAAGATTCATTTAACTTTATTTAAAAATTTTCTGTTAGCCTAGGCTATTTATGTAACAAATGTGACCTTGTCTATTGTAATTTTTATATTACCAAATGACAATAAAGATTTATTATTATTATTATTATTGTGACTGCAGGAGACGACGATGACGTCTACATGGCAGCAGGTAATGTTCATGATTTTGCCGTGATCGCGGGCGATGAATTTTCTGTGACCGCGGAAATTTTCTGTGAATTTTCTGTCCTGATAATAAGTATTGAAGATGATAATGTAGACAATGAAGCCGCTACAGGTCTAGCACATAATCCAGAACATCATAGAAGAACCAAACACATTGTAATAAAACACTTTTTCATTCCAGAACAAGTGACAGCAGGAAACCTTGAAGTGAAGAAAATTGACACAAGCTAACTAGCTGATTTGTTTACAAAATCTCTTCTTGGACCAAGGTTAAAGGTTTTAATAGAGCAAATTGGACTGGCTAAAAAGATCCTTTGAAGTCTCTAAGGAAGCCTTGAGTAGGGGGAGTGTTGGATATAATAACTATTGAACTATGTTTATTATATTTAGTACTCTTCGACTTACTTATGAGAATTAAAATGTTTTTGTTTTACATATTGTTTTCTGTTGTTAATGATTATCTCTAAATAGGTTTGACCAATACATTACATCATGAAAGTGTCTTTAATCTAAGTGTTCTATTCATTTCTGTCTATTAAATTAACTTTTAACAGTAGCATTTTATAACATAAAAAACATCATACATCTATGAAGCAATTTATTTTTAAACAAAATGTTATCTTATTCAAAATATTATATTGAACTTAATTTTGACCAAGATGTAAGCACAGAAAATCTAACCGAGTATAACCTAATCCATCCCTAAGAGGGTCAATAGTGGGTTAGAAGGGTCAAATTAACAAGGTAGACTGACTGAATGAATTATTCGGATTTTACGAATTATACTCCATTCCACATTCATCTTGCCAAAAACGGTGAGAGCCCTGAGGGTTTAGGTCACATGTTGGCCTGACTTGAAGTAATGTGACAAACAATTCCAGGTCTGTGTCCAACAGAGTAGAGGAGGTTTTTTAGTGAGTAGTCAGTGATAGATTCAGGAGTCTCACACTACAGGCTGGCTACCTGTGTGTGTAAAAGCATTTTCCGTCCTCTCCCTTAAAAAAAAAGCATCTATTATCTTGTATTATTATTATCTATTATATTATATTTATCTTGCAGTACTAATCTCCAGGTGTAATTTTTGGTTGAACTCTAGTGTGTTATATAGTCCTCTCTGAATGAATAAAATGTTGCAACCCTAATTGCTGTAAAAATTACGGTTCAAAAGTTTTTGCAACTTACCTGATATTTTCTATAAAAAGCTAGGCTTATAAAATAAAAGTCAGATTTCCAAAAAATTATGACCAATTTTGATTAAAAATTTGTTAGGTTCTTTTAGCTCCAAACAAAAGTGTACAAACCTGTACAACGCTGTAACGCTGTTGATATTTTCATGTATAAACTTTCATATTGCACTGCTTGTTTTAATTTATTTGAACTGAAAAGCTATTAATATTGATGGTATGTTGTTATGCCATGCATGATAATGATGAGTATTTTAGTTAGTTAGTTTTATTAAATTACTCTTGACACCATTCCTGTATCTATGTATTGTACTTAAATGAATAAAGTTATATGAAATGAATTAAATGAAATGAAATGTAAATTAGGATGGGGCACCTACTGCCACCAAACTCCATTGAAGTTTAGTTTTTGAAATTACAGTTCAAAAGAAATTGCAACTTTTGTGATTTTATTAGTGATGGTCGGATCCGGATATCGGACTACCGGATCCGCCGGATCCGAGCTAGAACCGGCACCCGATCGAATCCAAAAAATTCCGGATCTTGGGCTGGATCCGGTTTTGATAGATCCGATGTTTTCAGATTTTTCCCGATTTTTTTGCGAAACAAAGCTGTCTGTATCCATGTACAAGACTATCTGTGACTGTGTACAAGAAGACTATCTGTGTCTGTGTACAAGAAGACTAATGTCAATGCCAAAGTACTGTATATTGCCGACGTCAAAAACCTCTATGGTGGTCAATGTCACAGTACTGTGTATTACGACGTCAATAACCTCTATGGTTAGTCAATGTCACAGTACTGTATATTATGACGTCAATAACCTCTATGGTTAGTCAATGTCACAGTACTGTATATTACGACGTCAATAACCTCTATGGTTAGTCAATGTCACAGTACTGTATATTACGACGTCAATAACCTCTATGGTTAGTCAATGTCACAGTACTGTATATTGCCGACGTCAATAATCTCTATGGTTAGTCAATGTCACAGTACTGTATATTGCGACGTCAATAACCTCTATGGTTAGTCAATGTCACAGTACTGTATATTACGACGTCAATAACCTCTATGGTCAGGCAATGTCACAGTTACTGTATATAAAATAACCTCTATGGTTAGGCAATGTATACCATAAATTTAATGAAGGAAATTTTATCAAACTGTGTCATCCCCCATTGTAAACGCAAAGCTTGAGTATAATGCAATAAGCATTTTATACTTATATACCAATCATGTACGAAGGATGGGTACTCTGATAGTGCCTCATAATTCTATTCTAAAAAAAAATTGTATTCTCGAATCCGAATCTTTTCTTAAGATTCTGTGGATTCGAGATCCGGATTCGACACATCCCTACCTTCTATCTTGAGTATGCTATATCGTGGTTTTTGCGTGCAGCATCCAATTTATTTATGCCTGGATCACCCCTTGCTTATCTCTTCCTTAAATTCGTTCCAGGTCCACAGTACTGATAGCTAGGTATGTGATATTCAACAGTTAAAATACCCTGTGTCTGTGTACAAGAAGATTTTCTGTGTACATACAGGATGAATGAAAAGTCAAAACTCCCCCATCTAATATGTTAGAACACAGTATAGTCTTCACTTCTTGTACACAGACACAGGGTATTTTACCTGTAGAACTTCACATACCTGGCTTAGTACTGTGGACCTGGAACGAATTTAAGGAAGAGATTAACAAGAGGTGATCCATGAATAAATAAATTCGATGCTTCATGCACAAACCTTGATATAGCATACTCAAGATCGAACTATAGTAAAATATACACAGATACCCTTTTGGTGCAAACTTAGCACATAGTTTCATTTTAAGATTCTGAAAAGTTTTAGTGTCCCCAAAAAATGAGGGATTATGGGCTCAACTGGAGATTACTCTATATATAAGATATATTAACCTTTAAACATTGCCAATTTAATTGTAAACAGTATGATTTAAATTGGCATTCTGTTAATTACGTTTTTTTAACACGCCCTTATGACAGTGTGTATCTGGATCCGGATCCGAATTTTTCAAGATCCGGATCAGGATCCGGTACCGACATTGTCTTGAATCCGCCCATCACTAGATTTTATAAAATCTGAAAGTCACAGAAATTAGTAAAATGTACAAAGTATGACCTAACAAAGATTATGAGAACAGTAAACACAACCCATAACGCAATAAGCATGTTTCCAGCAATTTTAATAGCACTACTATCTCCCATAAGATCTGTCAATGCAGGTTGAACGTGGAATAGAGTATAGCTTACAGTATTTCCATGGTAAATGATCAAATAAGGCTGTTAATGTACTGTACTTACACAAATATCCTTCGAGTAAGGAACCAATACTTGCGACCATGGCGATCAAAGCCTAGATGTTCCTGACGACATAAAAGGCCTGATTTCTCTACATCAGGTATACAATCAACCACTCCAACAACCTAAAATATGATAACAAATTATAAAACTTAATTTAAAATATTAGTATTTTATAGGGATGTGTCGATTCACAGTACCGATTCTTGGATATTGGTATCAGTATCAAGAATCGATCGTCAAGAGTCAATACCAGTACCCCACTTAATTATCTGCAAGTTTAAAAAATTCACGCTTTTGCCACAATTGCGGATGACGCTGAAGATAGCATTTTCGTGACCAGGGCAGACGATAATGATGTCTACACGGCTGCAAGAAATTATCTGAAATTTGCCGTGATCGTAGATGACCATGATAAATTTTCATGACCGAGGGAGCTTAAAACAATGATGTCCACATGGTTGCAGGAGATTAAAATTTTGCCATCATCACGGAAGAAAATGATACTGTAATGTCTATATGACTGCAGGAGATATTCAAGAATTTGCCTTGATCGTGCAAGAGGGTGATATCGTTTCGAGGGAAATATTCAGGATTTTGCCACGATGGCAGAGGACGATGATGTTGCCATAACTGGGGGAGTTATGCAGGATTTACCGCTATCGCGAGAGTCAAAGTTGATGTTTCCGTTACAGCATGCAATATTTAGGATGTTGCCGCGATCGCGAAAGATGAAGATTATGTTCTCTTGACCACGGGAGATGTTCAATATTTTGCTGCGATCATGGAAGAGAATTATGATATTTCCATAACTGATGGAGATATTCAGGATTTTGCCAAGTTGGCGGGAGCTAACTTCATGGGTCTGATGTTCCCATGACCGCAAACGTTCAATATTGTACCGTCATAGTGTAAGACAGTAATGATGTTTCACGGTTTGAATTTTAATTGGCTAGAATTGCTGCTTTAATTTTTTCCCTTACTTTAATAACACCCAATTACCACTAAAATTATAAAGGCCTAAAAAACAATCATCATTTTTAGCGAATTTCCCTACAGGGAAGTATCTATTACCGTAGATGGCCCCAGAGAATAAAAACACTATTCATTCAAATTGTTATATATGTATATATACATAAAGGGGGCCCCCAAACAAACCTGTACCGATTTTGTGGAATTGTTATCACCCAATGTTTTAATTATAACAAACAAAATACATTTAAAATGTTTCAAAATGTGGACTTGTGCATGCTTATCAGCTGTTACTTGCCCATTTTTTACTTTCTCCCCCTATACCATAGTATAGGCCTATGGAGAAAGTATTGTTTTCGTCAACATTTTTGAGTTTGAGTTTTGAGTGGATATATCCGTTTAAAAAAGTAGTGTTCGAAGTAATGTCTGCGTATTGATATTGTATTGTGTGTGTGTCTGTGTATCTGGATGTGTAAAGAGCTAGCGACTACACCTGTGATCCGATTTCAACGAAATTTGGTATGTAGGTTCTAATCTATGGTACCACCAGGCATTTTTTCATTTTTTTGAAATTTTGTTTTTTTATGTTGATTTTCTCATCAAAGCCCACAAAATAACAGAAAAATCGGATTTCAAACAAAATGGCCTAAAACAATTTTGATAAAAGTTTAGTATTTTGTAGCCCTTTAAATTCTGATTAAATTCTGAACAAAATGGTACAACTCCCATATCTGTAAAAATTACGGTTCAAAAGTTGTTGTAAATAATGTTATTTTCCCATAAAAACCCCATAAAATAACGAAAATATGATAAAAAAAGCCGGGTTTGATGACAAAACAGACGACTTTATGACATTTAAAAATAGTAAGTTCAGATCACAAAGTTGTAGCCAGTCCAGTAACCAGCGTAGTACCTCACCCCACAATGACATCTACTGCTTGTATCATAACCGTTATGGGTCACGAGCCACCAATGTGTGACTCCTTGCACTTATTCTTCTACAAAAAACAAACTAGGCAACTAGGTGCGGTGTAAAGGCATACACGCAAATCCCGGTTAACAAAGATGTGCCCAAGACCACAATAACGACCACATTCGGTCTCTTTGAGTTCCCATTCATGTCTTTCGGGTTGAGGAAAGCTGGTCAAACTTTTCAAAGGTTTATTGATGAAGTCGTAGAGGGGACTCAGTTTTTGTTTCCCCTACATTGACGATATCCTTGTTTTCTCAAAGGATCCTGTCAAGCACGAAGAACACCTTCGTATTCCGTTCAAGAGGTTAGTCGAATATGGTGTCCTTATAAATGTGAAGAAATCTGTATTTAACACTGACGACTCAGTAGTTTTTTTTTTTTTTTTTTTTTTTTTTTATCAAGGCACCACTGACGGAACCAGTCCTGTCTCTGATCGCATTGACGCCCTTCAGAATTATCCTTTGCCACAAATTGCCTAAGGTCTTAGATGATTTTTGGGGATGTTGAACTTTTACTGTAGGTTCATTCCTCACGCTGCAGAATTTCAAGCCCCTCTCCACACTGTCCTTTCGTCATTAAAATTGAATCAGAAAGTCACATGGACCGATGTATTAACTGAAAACTTCAGTAAATGTAAGGATCATTTACTGTATCAATAAAGTATCATTTACATACTACGCTAAATTAGCACTTTTTTGTGATGCATCAAATACTCACAGTATTTTTATATTTTTAATATTTTTATCTTCCCGAAAGAGAGGTACCAGAACTCCGTTCCACCGCGTTCCCCGCAAATTGAGCACTGTATAAGCTGTATAATCTTGCTTATACTTGTAGTTATTTTTTGGACTCACAGGATCTATCCATATCAAGTGATCCAGAAATAAAATAATTGGTTGCTTGACCATTTTTAAATAAATAATATTTTTATCCTAGATACCTATATCAATTCTTGGTTCAAAAGTGATTTTACATTTTTTTTATCTCTTTTGTTACTTCTACGGCGGCAATTTATGTTTTGCGGAACACAAATTTTTTCTCATGTAAGGGTTTGCGTTTACTTGCATAACTCGGTAACCATGAACACTAGAGTGATGAAACAAAAAGCATTTTAATCTGGAAGAAACTGCCTAAATATTTATTATGTTCAGTACATATTTTTTGAAATGTGAATAAAAAAAAAACAGTTTTCAACCCATCTCAACATTTCATAAGAAAGCGAAAAAATTTCTACTTTTGAAGGCGTATTACCGTTGAAACGAATAAAATCTCAGACTTGATTTTTTTTTTAGTGTAGCAACTCAGTAGAACTGTTTGTTTTTCAAATATCAACCCTGAGACTTAATTCCTTTAAAAGTGATAATTTTTCAAAAACTGAAATTTTTCAAAAAATTCAAGTCTTGAGTCTCAATATTTTTGTTGGGACAAAGTTTAAAAATCTGAAATTTTTACCAAAAACCCCTCTTATGGCTGTTATACTGCTGTATGAATTTCATCTTTGAGATTTACTTTTAAGCTAAGTTACAGTATCATGAAAATCGCAAAAAACGCATAAGCTTGGCCAATGCGGCTAGTACTGTAGGTAGCTTAAAGATAAGCTTATAGGTATAGGTAATTATTTTATTTGATGTAAACTTATCTTATCTATTAACTTACTTATCTACTAAACTTATCTATGTACAAACAGATTTTTAACTTAAACTTTGTACCCAAAGTACAAATGATATGTACGGTACTAAAAATAAATAAAATCCTGCTGAATTTTAAGTTTAGTCAATTCTATTTATTTTGAGGTCTTATAATTGATTTTCCATTCAGATTTAATGTAACCCGTAACATAAATAAAAAGTGTTTATTATGGTATTTTGTAAAGGAATAAATCATATTCTGTGGGATCTGTTACAGTCTTAAAGTCCCCACAGGAAGTCGTAAATGAGTCACAAAACACAAAATTTCATAACAAAATAACTCATTTTCATAACATATGAAGAAATCACTCAACACTACAACAAACTCCTAAATAAGCTAATAATATTTATTGAAAAAAAACTTGTGTAAACCTGAATGAAAATAATCTGATAAAAGTTTTTTTTCACAAAGACCAGAAATTTAATTACCTATACCTATAAATTAATCTTTAAGCTACCTACAGTACTAGGGGCGTTGGCCGAGCTTAAATGTGTTTTTTGCGATTTTTTGCGAGTAAATCTCAAAGATGAAATTCATACAGCAATATAACAACCATAAGAGGGGTTTTTGGTAAAAATTTCAGATTTTTAAACTTTGTCCCAACACAGATATTGAGACTCAAAATTTAAATTTTTCAAAAAATTTCAATTTTTTAAAAATTATAACTTTTAAAGGAATTAAGTCTTAGGGTTGATATTTGAAATACAAACAGTTCTACCGAGTTGCTACACACACAAAAAATCTAGTCTGAGATTTTATTCGTTCCAACGGTAATACGCCTTCAAAAGAAGAAGTTTTTTCCGTTTTCTTATGAAATGTTGAGATGGGTTGAAAACTGTTTTTGATTCACATTTAAATAAATATGTACTGATAATAATATTTAGGCTGTTTCTTCCAGATTAAAATGCTTTTTGTTTCATCACTCTAGTGTTCATGGTTACCGAGTTATGCAAGTTAATGCAAACCCTTACATGAGCAAACATTTGCGTGTTCCGCAAAACAAAAACAGCCGCCATAGAAGTAACAAAAGAGATAAAAAAATGTAAAATCACTTTTGAACCCAGAATTGATAGAGGTATCTAGGATAAAAATATTATTTATTTAAAAATGGTCAAGCAACCCCTGTTGGATCACTTGATATGGATAGACCCTACGACAAGAGCTCGGGAAGGCTCAAATCAATAAATAATTCTTGTCTATTGTTTATAATCAGCTTAAAATATGCACTAAAGTGTGCATCACTGTCTTAAATAATTGAATTGAATTGCTGCTATACCTTGTGTGCTTTACACAGGTTGCACTGCCAATCCTCTTGAGGAACGTCAACCAGCGGAGGGTCAACACACTCCAAATGAAACACTGCAGGGCAAGTTTCACAGCAGAGTAAATCTCCAACCCGGTGGCAGATGCGGCAATGGTCATCATACTGGAAGCTGCCTGTGAACATGGTGTTCATAGTTTGTTTGACTTATAATATAGCCTATGAACTATAATTATGATGCCAAGTCCCTTTCCTGACCTAAAAATCTATACAAAATAGTTATGTATGTAGGCTAACTAATATGTTGGTTTTTTTTACTGGTGGTTATTAGAGCTACCTGCGTCAACTATTTTTCACAGTAGAAGATGGGCCTAGATAATTGTCTTTCATTTTATTCATGACCCTTTTAGCAAATTTCCCTAAAGGGAAGTAGCTATTACCGTAGGTGGCACAGCAAGACCTAGGCCCGGGACCGATTTACTTTTTCATTTTGATGTCCCCAAAGGCCATAACACCGTCCGTTCAAAATGTTATATATATATTATATATTTATAATAATATTATTATATATAAATAGATATACAACATATATATATATATATATATATATTAATATTATTATATATATAACTATCCATATAAATCCCAAAGTAACCATTACCTTTTGAGAAAACTAAGTCACAATCCCTTATACCATACAGCCTACTTAAAATGTTCGTCATGACGAGAAACCTTGCCCAAAACTATCCATTACCTCATAAATTGCCCTTTAAGGTCGTAATTCCTTTTTAAAGGGAACTTTCTATATACCTAATGTTAAAAATTCCTCAGCTCTACTTATTATATACTTATACTAACCGGTAAACATTTGTATACCGGTATGTTATTCTTTCAATTTATTACCTTATTAAAATCAGGTGTGATTATTTGTTTGTATTACTGTACTCTGTTTTGTTTATTTCAGCTAAACTTAACAAGTGACATCCCCATCTTAAATAATTGATAATTGATTGATTGATTGAAATCAATAGTTTTATTAATAGGCCTAATTCAGTTAATTAATGCTTATACAAGGAAATTTGTAGGGTAGTTTTGATTTTTTCCATTATGCATGTTTTTTGGGGTTGCATAATCCGAATCTGAGGTTTGCTAACAAAAGTTCCTGACGCAACATTGACAAAAATAAGAAAAATGTGGAAAAATTGTACTTTTGGTAGTTTTTTGCTTATAACTCAGAAACTATTAACTTTTTGTAAATATCATGCATTATTCAAATTAAAGTACACAATATTTGCTACAAAATGTACCCATAAGGTATTAATCACCGATGAACCATTTAATTATTTTCACAAATGCAATTAGACGACGTCAAAATACATAGTAAGCTTGACTAACATTTCTTAAATGAAACATTCCCTCATATCTAGTAACAAGATAAACAAAGCATACCATACAGAATAGATACCATACTAAGAGTTTGGGTTAATGATGAGAGGTTGTATTTAGAAACTTGTTCCTAAATTGGCTTATTGCGTTTAAGAGCTTTAAGTTGTAGGCCTACTTAGTGACACCGAAAAACTGTGTACCTTTTATATTTCATCCCACTTTTAAGAACTTTAATTGTTTTAAGATTTTTAAGATTTTGTTTCAAGCCTGCAGTTCTTGGACATAATAACCCCGCCTGGGACATAATAACACAGGAAAATACAACCACACGCACATCTAATGTTACTCTTGACCCTAACAAATTAAACACATACTTTACAGATTCAGTTGAGGAACTGGCCAATCAAGTGGGCCAGACTCAAGACACACCAAGAGAACTACTGGAATCTACACAAAAATTGGACGTCTCTAAATTTGAATGGATACCTATTACACCAAATGAGGTAACAAAAACAGTCTCAAAATTTTCAAATTCTAAATCTATGGATCACTTTTGGTTTTCAAACTACATAATCAAGAATATTATACACTACATATCTACACCCCTCTCCACTGTATTTAATAGTTGTCTCCGTAATGGCTATTTTTCTGACCAACTTAAAGTCTCAAAAGTAACTCCAATTTATAATAAACGGTATCAGCATTCTGACACATACTTTCTCCCATAAGTTTGTCAACAACCTTTATCATGTGTAAGCGGTGAAAGTAAATATACAGAAGTAATTTGTCCGATTTTGTTCAGAATTTAAAGGACTACATACTAATTTTTTTCAAAATCGTTCAGGCCATTTTTGTGAAATCTGACTTTTCCGTTATTTTATGGGGTTTTTATGGGGAAATAACATAATTTACAATAACTTTTGAACCATAATTTTTACAGAAATGGGATTTGTACCATTTTGTTCAGAATATAAAGGACTAAAACATACAATTTTTTTATCAAAATCGTTCGGGCCTTTTTTGGGAAAATCCTATTTTTCTGTTATTTTATGGGGTTTTATGGGAAAATTCCCATTAAAAATTAAAATTTTTAAAAATGAAAAAACTATCAAAACTTTAAGGACCATAACATACTATGTTAAAATATAACCGGATTTTTTTCTAAAATCCTATTTTTCGTTACCTATTTTATTGGGTTTTTATGGGAAAATAACATAATTTACCATAACTTTTGAACCGTAATTTTTACAGAAATGGGATTTGTACCATTTTGTTCAGAATTTAAAGGGCTACAACATACTACATTTTTATCAAAATCGTTCGGGCCATTTTCGAGAAAATCCGATTTTTCAGGTTTTTTATGGGTTTTTATAGGAAAATCCCCATTAAAAATCAAAATTTCAAAAAAATGAAAAAAACGCCTGGAGATACCATGGATTAGAACCTACATACCAAATTTCATCGAAATCGGACCACAGGTGTAGTCCCTAGCTCTGTACACATCCAGACACACAGACACACAGACACACAGACACACACACACACACACACACAGACATCACTTCGAAAACCACTTTTTTGGGTCCAGGGGGACCCAAAACGAATATATCCACTCAAAACTCAAACTCGAAAATTTTGACGAAAACAATACTTTCTCCATATACTATGGTATAGGGGGAGAAAGTAAAAAGGTGACAAGAATCTATCGCCCAATCTCGATAGTACCAATCTTATCTAAGGTTTTCGAAGCTCTCATGTTAAAACAGTTAAATAACTTTTTTTACTCTAATAACTTGATGACTGATTCTCAATTTGGGTTTAGGGCTGGCAGATCAACTACGATGGCAGTCTCTCACATTTCCAATTATATTATTAATGCTTTTGAAAATAAAAATACTGTTTCCATACTACTTTTTGATTTAACAAAAGCTTTCGACTGAATCCCGTTTGACATCTTGCTGGCTAAACTCAAATTCTATGGACTTAGCAAAAACACAATAGAAATGCTTGAATCATAACTGACTAATAGGAAGCAATATGTTAGTGTGGAGGGTAAAAATTCAACATTCACCACAATTAAAGCAGGAGTTCCGCAGGGCTCGGTCCTAGGCCCTTTCCTTTTTATAATCGCAGTAAATGATCTACCATGTAACACTCCTATCGAATGTGTAATTAACGCAGACGATACCACAATTTTTACTACTGACAAAGACCAAACAAAGCTCTCAGAAGCTCTTTCTAAAGCAGAAAAGAGTGTTTTAAACTGGTTTTCTGCAAATAAACTGATCTGTAATCAATCCAAGACCCAGAAAATTGATTTCTCACTCTCTATTAAACAATCAGACCACTCAGTAAAAATTCTTGGCTTCCACCTCGATAGTAAATTAAACTGGAAAACTCACATCACAAATTAAAGCAAAAAACTATCGAGAGTTTCATGTTTATTCTGGAACCTCAAGCCTTTTGTCGATATTGAATATCTCAAACTAGCCTATTTTGGGATGTTTCAATCCCATATTCAATATGGAATCCAACTTTGGGGCCATTCCCCCTTGTCCATGAGCTTCTACTAATACAAAAAGAAGTCATTCGCACAATGTTAGGGGCTGACCCTGCGGAGCACTGCAAACCACTTTTTATTAAACTAAACATTTGCACAATTCTAAATACTAAACAGGCGCTTGTGAAACTAAGGGATACAAATTCTAGACCACTTCTAGATTAGCTAGAGACTTGAAATTTTCGGTGGTTGTAGGCCTAGTGCCCAAACCCCCGGGAAAATTCCAAAAAGTGACATTTTTAAATTTTAACCCCCCCCCCCCCCCCCGAAATTAAGGGTTTCCCACCCATGTTATATTCTTATGGGGAATAACATTAAAAATGGCCGACTTTGGTGTGCCCATCTGAACGGTTTAGAAACGTGCTAGAGACTTCAAATTTGCGTAGTATTGTAGCATGGGATCTTTAAATTACCGGTAAATTTCCCCATAAGTCCCATTTTCAAATTTCAACCCCCCAAAAATCCAAAATGGCGGACCTCTGAAAACGACAAAACACGTTTTTTTCAAAGGGCTCTAGCTCAAAAACGGTAAGAGCTAGAAAAGATTTGAAAGAATCTTAGCGAAAGGGAATTAAATTTTCTACAAAACCCTCTTAGGCGTTTTCCGAAAATCGCACTCCTTAACCTTCAAAAAACGCCCTACTTTCAAAATTTAGTAAATTTCTTTCAAATTTTTTAAGGTTTTCGCTATTTTTTCATATTTAAATAATTATTTTTTGCAGATAGGCCTATTATTAGTGCTCTGTATTCTCCTTAATTTACTTTAAATTTTACTTACTAAATGTTTTTTTGTATTTTTACTCCTTAACCCCAAAACTTAGATTTAATCTCAAAATTTAAAGGTTTTTTACCACTTTTACAAGCCCCATGTTATTCTTATGGAGAATAACATTGAAAGTGGTCGACTGTGGTATGCTCATCTGAACCACTTATAAACGTACTAGAGAATTGAAACTTGGTAGTATTGTAGTATGGGATCTTACATTACCGGTGAAATTCCCAAAAGTCCCATTTTCAAATTTTAACCCCCCCCCCCCAAAATCCAAAATGGTGGACCTCTGAAAACAAAAAAACACGTTTTTTTCAACCGGATATAGCTCGAAAACGGTAAGAGCTAGAAAAGATTTGAAAGAATCTTTGAGAACGGAAATTAAATTTTCTACAAATCCCTACTGGGCGTTTTCCGAAAATCGCACTCTTAAACCTTCAATAAACGCCTTACTTTCAAAA